GGAGCTGTGAGGGATTAACGGCTTGGGATTTAATTAATGCTAGGGAATAAAAAATGGAAATCTGTAATAGGGGTTTGAAATTCAAATAGTAATTTGGTGTTTTAAAGCTCTTAGATTCAAATTTAGGAGTTATGAAAGTGAGACAAAAAAATTAGATTTTGAATTCAAATTTCAAAATCGATTTCAATTAAGCACTTTCCAAAAATAGATGAACCAAATTAGGAAATAATTTGAAATTTGAATTTGAATAATTTCAAATTCAAATTAATCCCTAAATTAACCCAATCAAATTATGAAATCCCAAAGAGGGTGGGAGGAGTTCGGCCGGCGACTAATGAGGTGGAGCCGGCGGCATGGTGGAAAAAGGAGACGACGGCTTGGAGATGGAGAAGATGAAGGTGGACGTAGGTAGAGGATGAAGATGAAAACTTGGAACAATAAAAAGGAACAAAAACAAAGATAGAAGATAAAAATGAAAGAGAGAACATAAAACCGCGAGCCTTGGACTTTTCCGAAGACTGACGGGTGATCCGTTTGCCCTCTCCAAGGGACTTCAAATCACGAGCCCGGACCCATCCTGCGGCTGGTGAAGGCTTCGATTCCTCTCATAGGAATCCCACTAACGCTCTCTCACAAGAAGAACACAAGTGTGGAAAATAATTTTTCATCTCAATCATTCATCCCCTATTACAATAGCTTAAGGCCCTATATATAGGCCACAACATGAGAAAATCAAAAATTACAAAAATGCCCCTTGGGCCATAACACTTACATAAACTATCCTAGGGGTAAAACAGTAAATACATTAATTAAGAACTAAAATGAAGAAAATAACTCATATTTGAAAATTTAAATAATGGCCGTCGATTTACGACGCCGCCTGTGATAGATGCGCCAAATCTTTGTACCGATGTCCGCATCAGAAAAACTCTAAAATATTTAAAAGGCATGCCAAGAAGGTGGAATTTGTACAATAATATATCTTTGTTCTTAAACACGTGGTAGATATTAAGAACAAGATTTACTTAAACACTCACAAATCATGAGTGTGAGAGTGATGGCATTTGAGAAGATAAAGTCTAACTATCCTTCATGCTGTGACTTTGATCAAATCTATAACTCATTGACCAAGAATGAAGTCATCCCAAACTTAGAAATCCAAGATGACTGCCTCTTCTGATGTACGCATATTGTATCCCCAATGCTTCACTATGAGATTTACATATCAAGGTGTTTCATTTCAGAGGGGCATCCACACACGTCATGTGAAACCTCTTACGTAAAAGAAGCTAAACTCTTAAAAGGTGCCTTTGGGTGTAATGGATGGAATTTTCATAAGAAACTCCATAGTTAAGCATGCTCATCCTAGAGCAATTCTGTGATGGGTGACCTACTGAGAAGTTACACCAACATAACAAAATCGTGAGGCTCTTACGCCAAAGCGAACAATATCTTAATAGTTAAGAGTTTGGGTTGTTACAAGTCAATCATGACAAGACCATATCCATGGTCAAGGGTTGATTATTTTAGCTAGTCTCAAGCAAGATGTGGCTCATATTGCTGTTAATGTCATCTAAACTAGATGGAAAAAGGCAAGAAGCACACTAATAGATCTAAGCATAGACTTTATCCTTGGATTACCGATTACCTCATAACATACAAAGTTATGGCTCTATCTTTTGTGGTATTGGACATGTTTTTGAAAATGGCACGTTTTATTAAATGTCACAAGACCTCTAATGCATCTCATATGGCATCTATTTTGTTCAAAGAAATTGTGTGATTGCATGATTTATCCAAAGATAATATTCCTGACAGATACTTTTAATTCATAATCTATTTTTGGAGGGCCTAGAAAAAAATGGCAACCAAGCTTCTAATTTTCACCACATGTCACCCTCATGCCAAACCAAACTGAGGTAGCAAATAGAAATTTGGGTAATCTACGTAGATGTTTGGTTAGTGACCACACCTCTAAATCTCTAATTGAGACTTGATTTTATTAACTACTATATTTGCCTGCAATAGTTCCATCAATAGATTACCACATGAGTCCTTTTAATCTGATATGAACCTTAAAAATCCATTGATATGATCGATCTCCCTATTTCACATAGAACTAGCGAGTTTGCATCCACTTTACATAACACATGGATGATCACATGCCAAAATTTAACAAAAACTTGACAGTTATTGAATTTTTAGAGGGCGAGGGGCGAACTATTTAAGTTCAATTTCATCCTGAGAGTTTTCTACTGAAAACTCTCAATGAATTGTCAGGAAAGAACTTGGGGTCTTACAAAATCATCAAGCTCTTCTTGCGCTAAAGCAACAATCAACATTGTGAAGTCCTCCAAAAACAAATGACAAATAAAGCAGAGGATTTCTATATAAATCTCATTTTATTCCAACATATTTAAAGTGGCACAAATGAACTCCCATACATATATATCTATAAAGCCTAGAGAACATCAACTATCAACTAACACCTCTCAAAATTAAATAGATTAGTCATAAAAGATAGCGGAGAAATTAAAAGAATAGCCAAGAAGTCAAAAGATGGTTTAGCAAAAAGTGATAGAGAAGTCAAAAAAGTAATGGACAAGTCAAACACAAGTACCAACCAACAACATTCAAGGTATGGTGGATTAGTTAAAATCTATTAAATCGCCCACCAACTCGATAATACAAATGACCTAATCCAACTCTTTATTATACAAGACCAAGAAGTGACAATAACACAAAAGCAGCCAAAATACACAATCCTCACCATGAAAAAAAAAAACTCTCAAATACATAATGAAAAATCTAAAGTATAATCAATATAATTACACGATGAAAATGACAATCTTGATAGCCTACATCAGTACTCCAACTTCAAACAATTGAATTCTAACAAATTAAATGCCTAATACTGCAGAACCATCAAGAGACACAATTGTTGTAATATTTGAGGGGTAAGAGTCCTCTCCATCGTCGAACGATATATCTCTAAAATCCACCATCAATAGTGGAGATGATGTGATCATTATAGATATATCCAATACAAGCAATCTTATGCATCAAATTGATAATGACGACGATGTGTAGGTATTTTCATACTCAGTTCTTATTGGTATCTCAAAAGTTCTTGACAAAAGATGAAAATGTAATACACTTGGATGATCAACATAGATGCCCAATTAATAAATATGCTTTTGACAAGGACTTGATTTTACCATATGTTGAATTTGCCACCAATAATTTCATCAATATGTTTACCATTACGAGTCAATTTCATATTGTTATTGGATATGAATCTTTAAAAACGATTGGTTTGATCAATCTCCCTATTTCATATAGGACTAGTGAGTTTGCAACTACATTTGTACAACACATGCATGATATTTATGCTAAACTTCAGCAAAAAAAATTGCAATAAATTATGACAAGAACAATCAATGGCAACTCACAAGGCAACTTATTAAATTTTTAGAGGGTACATTCTTTTAGAGCTCAAAACCTTACACAATCATCAGGAAGATAAACGGTGACACATACAAGCTAGATCTACCATACCAAACCTGACTTGTTATCAAAAGTCCACTCCTAAATTAGTCTCTTTTCCCTTGATGTATTTTATCTCCATCTTCTTCTCCCACTTTAGGGATATTGATGAGCAATGAGCATAATAATACTTACACATCACCACTATTATCGAGTTAATGTTGAAGATTATATGTAGCATATCAAATCTTAGACAAAAAGATCCTCTCCACTACTAATGGTGTAGTTCAGATATACCTTTATTCAATCGAAAAATCATTCAACTCTTTGGAATGTATAGGTGACTTTGAAAGAGCTACAACTGTTACATTCCAAAATGCTTCATGAGTACCAGGACTTTGAATCATCAGAGTTAAATTCTTCAAAGTCGAAGAGTGATGCAAGGCAGCATGATCATCTTCATCATCTTCTTATTGAGTATTGAGTCTACATATTAGTTATTAGAGTTTTGAGTCTAGATTAATTATACCTAGGACTCTTCATCATATATTTAAGAACTATTTTCATACATTATGAGAATTAATGTACTATAAGTGCTTTTATGTTAATGTCACTTTTGAGTCTTGCAATATGATAAGTCATATTAATATTAATGAGTAATAGGTTAATTTACTAAGTTTTTAACAACACACCATGTTTTGAATACAATTAGTTGGTAGTAGTGCTTTCCTTTTCAAAAAACATTTTAACGTCTCTACCACAATTTCTTTAACTTCAACATCACTTTTTTGACTTCATCACCTTTTCACTTCCCAAACACCTTTTTTTTAACCAACTTTTTAACTTCATTTTTTAAATTTTAATGTGTATCCCATAGGCCAAATAGATGAGTTCATTTGTACATCTTCAAACATGTTTTAATGGTTCGTTATGTGTGATTATTGCTATGTGCAAGGAAAATGCTTTCCTTATGCTTTGGAGTTCAATTTCATGGTGAAATTATTGCTTGTGGAACTGATTCTTCAAGTTATCGGTACTCTTATAATTCATTTACATCTACAATTTGGTAAGATTGCAAGCTAAGGTAATTGTTCGCTTTGTTCACATTTAAGTTAGATCTAGAATCTTATGCTTTTGAGAGTTCATTTTCTTTGAGATTGTGTAAGTGTCCTTAGTCTTTGTTTAAAATTTCAAACAAACTTAAACATTCTTTCCTCTTAAATTTCTCTGAGAATTTTGATGTGATCAATATAAAATAGGTGCCTAAATTAATCCATCACAAGTTCTTTAAATAGCAACTATGAAGGTCTATTCATGCATTGATGACATATTCATCTTGCACCAAGGAGAATCATTAAATTTCGATTAGAGAATCAAATTGTTTTTCTTCCCAAAAGATCAACAATGGCGGTCATGTATATGTTAAAACAATTAATGAAAATGTCAGGCAAAAGAAATGATATTTATATAATTTCCATTGAATTCAAAAATAATATATAACTGATTCAAATGTGAACCATATTTTTTTTTCCAATCCTTAACCATAATTATCCAGTGCACCCATAACCATGTTTGGTAAGCCCATCTTAGGAGATATAATATGAGAAAACTATATGATGCAAGTTTGAAAACTTCTATCTATATATATTATTAGCAAAAACAAAAAAGGATTTTCAAACGAGTTAATAAAAAATTTGGACTAAAATAAGGAACACAATTGTCATATTTAGTTCATAAAATGTTGCAGATATTACATATAATACAAATTTATTAACTTTAAGGAAGTCAAAAAGCTATATTAATGTATTGGGGAAGAGAAAAAAAAAATCCTATAGCCATCTAAAGCCATTTCACTCGGTCCAAACCAGCTAAAATCATATTAAATCAGCTAAAATCATATTAGATTAATCCAAACATATTGTCATCTATAACAAGGTTGCATCAAGGAACATTAAACCTGTTTACTTTAGATGAGTTGTAGTAGTGCTTTCAATAAAACTTTGAAATGTCATCCCTTGCTAAATGAGAAATTACAATAATAGAGGAAAACTTTGGAAAAAAGGGCTTAAATCTAGTGTTACTAGGAATAAAAGGGGATTGACATCTATTCCCGTAAATTGTTCTTAAGAAATTGCTTCCTTTAATAAGATTATGTGGCCTATCAAACAGCTTTAGTTAAATTCTGACTGAAAAAACATAAAGCGGAAGCCTAATCAAATGAGGCAAACTACATATTATGGAATTTAAAGGAGAAAAAAACATTTTTTGGGACATTAGGCCAATGAAGGCAAATTAACCCAAGACCTCTTGGTTGACGGTCAAAGCTCCCAACATATCAAAGTGAGCTGTGGATAAAAAAAAAATCTTCTAAATTCTATTCCCACCCAAGACTTACTAAATCAGGGATTTAGCCTAAAACGGGAGAAATAAGATTAAGGTAATAAATTTTATATGGCTTAAAAAGTGTTTTCGTAAGATTTAGCCTAAATTCTGGCTAAATCTTGCAACCAAACCGCCCCTTAGTAATGAAGTCATGAGACTCATGACAACTAAAAACGATTGATCATATTTTTTGGAGAGAAAATAGGCTATAAGAAAAATAAAATATTATAAATCCTTCTGCGATCAACTAGCTGGATAGAACACATCGGAATCCAGTAAATGGTGACACAGAAGATCGTTAAACTACATAAAAATCAATAAAAAGGATACAGTAGATAACTTATAAAAGATAATTAAAAGCTTTAGCAATTAGACTTCAAAAAGAAGAAAAGAAAATTGAAGATGTTTGATCCAAGGAGATCAAGTTGAACGAAAGGCAACTACTAATCATTGTTTCAAGTCTGCCATCCGATATAAATACGACTAAAAGAAAAAAAAAAAGGTCATACAAAAAGAACAGGAAACTATTGCGTTGGATCTTCCTCTTTTTCACTTTGTCAAGAAAATAAAAATAATTAAGCAACAGAAGCATCAACAGATCAGAGGCAACAAAATAAGACTATATGATAATAGATCCGCAGTCCTACTCCAAGGAATCCTTTTAATAAAAGCCTAAGCCAGAAATCTGTTGAAGAGAGGGAATAGAAGAAAAAGTATCGGCTATAAGAGGACTTGAAAAAAAAAATCTTTACGAACCCATCCATAGATCTCGTGCAAAAAAGATTCACCTAGTGGCGCAGATTATACGACTTTCTGAACAAATTCATAACCCAAAAAAGAAATATTCCTAAAATCCAAGAATCGGGAAAGTAAACAAACCGGGAAAAGAGATGAAGAAGAGATGAAGCCCAAACCTTTGAGACGATTTTGGACCTTTCACCGATTGGGATTCGCAAAAAAATGTTACCTTTTTATGTTTTCTCTTCTTCCTTTAATGGAATTATTTATAAGAAAAAGGGTGGAGAAGATGGAACGGAACTTTCCTCCGAGTAGTCTTCGCTCAAAGGAACGATTTCTTCCCCTCTCCGCTTTCTCACATTCAACAAATTAAAAAAAAAATGGTTGAATTTCGGGTCATGGGTAGGTAGAGGCAGGCATACAAGGGGAGTAAGAGAGCGAAAGCTAATGCTGGCTTAGTTCATAACTGGCCGTACTCTGAGGCGAGGAGTTGCTCATCTCAGATATTGAGCCGATTTATTAGTTAATAATATATAATATATATTTAAACTTTATTTAAATTACTTAAATATAGCATTATTAAAATCTTTAAAATTTATTCTTCTATATTTTATCTCAATTAATTTTTTTATTACTTTGGATATCTCTTCAAAAATCTATTTGATCGGATACAAATTTAGATGCATATTTAAATTGGAAACTTTTTATAATTAAATTTAGGATTGTCAAATATTTGATTTCAATAATCTTATAGTGAAATTGAACGGCTCAATGAGATAAATCCTTTGGCACCCTAAATAGGTTGATCCTATTCTAAATGGGCCTAAGGCTTCCTTTTGGGATGGATTTCTTACTGTTTCTTATAGCAGTTTTTTAATATAAAATAATTAATTTTTGCACTAAAAAGTTGCTTTAATAAACAGTAAAAAAGTCGTCCCAAATGAAGCCTAAATCAAGTGTCTAAAGCATAATTAAAATTTTTGGGACATTAATTGAAAGATCAAATGAACTCTAAATCTTACATTTATTATCAAATACAATGACTCAAACAGGCAAATCCAACGAAATTAAAATCATATAGTCCTGACATCACTAAGATATTTAAATGCAAAAGATGACATATAATCAAGGGAATCGACAAAAGGATGTTTGGAGTGTTATGAATTTTTAGTGTATTTACATGATATGCCTCTCTTAAAAATCTACAAATAAACCTGATCTGTGTATGGAAGAGTCTTTGATCATAACTTGGTATTCGAGTGAACTCAAAAGCATAAAGAATCTTGGTGCTCTACCTAAGTACCATCATCAGATCATTGACTAATAAATGGTATCGGGTCATAGTTGAACTATCGCTAATAGAATACCACGTGATCAACTCTATCACCCAATTATAATATTCTAACCATTGTCATCTGACTACATTTCTCAAACCACTGTCATGCCATTATAATCTTCTAACCACCATCGCATAACTAATAATCCTTTGACCATCATTGTTTTATTTTGATTATTCAAACACCAAGACCAAACAATAGTCTCTCACTACCATCATCATACTATGATTATTTGACCACCATCAATTAACTATAGTCTAATTGTAATATTTAAGCTCATTAACTTGACAAGTGTGCCACTATATTGAGATCAAGCAACATGCTTGAAAAATGTGCGGCCATCTTGAGAAGCATGTCATTATCTTAAAAAACATGCAATCATCTCAAGGAGTTAACATTGCCTCAAAAAGCATACAACCGCATTGAGAAGCTTGTCATTTCCTCAAAAAACATATAGTCGCCTTAAAAACATGTAGTTACACTAAGAAGCATAAAACTATTTTAAAAAAAGAATAATATAATAAATAAAGTACATAAAAAATTAGGTAAATATGCTATGGAAGTGCATTAGAAAGAATATAAGTACATTTGACAGGCACATTGAAAGCATGATCACAATTTAAAAAGAAAGTTAAGTCCCATTATGTGCTCCGACAAATATGTGAACTCTTAAATCTAAAGTGTGAGAAAGTTGTTATTCCTTTGAAGGCAAGTTGGCACTTTTGAAAAGCTTAAGATGATTAAAAAAATATTCCAAATAATCAATGATAGTCGTGATGATATAAAAACTCACTTAAAGGGCATGATATTTTCAAAATCCTCTCAAATTTCAAAGTGAATTATTTTGGATTTAAATTCTGATAAGAATATAATAACTCAATATTTTCATAAATTTATGTCTTTCAAGAAAAAATTATCATTCAAAATTTGAAGCAAATTTCATATACCATTCACAAATATTCATAAACGATAACATGTTTAGAACACCTCAATTTAGGAAGAACAAATATCTTGTCATATATTATTTAATTCATTCTCAAATGATTTTTTGCTAGTAAGGATAATTCATCCATCATTTTGCAAGTATGTGTGAAAGATGAAAGGTTTAAGAATAAAATCAACTTATAAGGAGCAAATCTCATGTTGAGTGTATCTCAATAATTCATTCTAAAATAATTTATCTCCATTAAGAATATGTGATGTATCATCTAACTAGGTGATTTTACATTAAAAAATAAAACAATTGGATTATGATCATGGCTAAAGTCTGCATGTTTCGTAATGGTTGCATTGATAGAAAATCTCAACCGAAAAAAAAAACTTATTTTCGAAATGACCTCAAATTTCAATGTGAATTACAACACATATGAAGTTTGATAAAAATATTAAGTAAAATTTTTCACTAAATTAAAATTATTCAAGCAAAATTTATCATTCAAAATTTGAAGCAAATTCATCCACTCTCCACAAACATTTGCTAAGGATAACAAGTTTAAAAGTAACCTTAACTCATCAAGAACAAATGTTTTGTCAAATATATTATTATGATTCATTCTCAACTGATTTCTCTCAATAAAGAACATGGTAATATGGTATGTACTGTCTAGACACCACCAAATTACTATCATGAATGGCCAAAAACTCATATATTTCTTAAGGGATAAAAATCCTTTGAGTAATAAATTAATTATAAGTTATACTTGGTAAGGCACGAAGCCATATGTTAGCTAAGGTTAACACAAATTTATTTTTTTTAGATCAACATTCAACCACACTCTATAATATGCATTGGACAAAGTAACGTATGGCTATCGATAATAATCATTAGCTAGGTTGGGTAGACTATCTCTCCATGACTAAGTAGACTAAAAAACATGACAATTGAGGACTACATAAATATGAGATCTTTATCAGGTTCATCATTATTCCTTTCGCAATCCTCTTTAAGTGTAAAATAATAAATTTTAAATTTCAACACTAAATTTATGGTTATAATACAGACAATATTTAGTGGTTATCTAATAATTAACATGCAACGGGGGTTCTCTCTTATTACTCAAACTAGTAATTAATAACAGGGGCTTATGCTTATGAGAAATTTGGAACCATGCTATCAAGTTCTCATGAAATAAAGTTGAAATTTTTTTGGGTAGTGTACTATCTTAAATCTAACATGCCTTATGAAATTTTGAACCAAAAGAATTTATAAAGCCTATCATGTAGAGAGGCTAGGGCACAAATTTTTTATACTCATATAATCGTTGCTCGACTATAATCCTCTAACTATCATCGCTCATTGACTGACGCAATGTTCTAAAATTTTGCATGAATGGGGCTTAGATTTAAGAAAACTCAAAGGCTTGAAGATTCTCAGAGCTTCCAAGTACCACTGTCAGAGCATTTTGCTCAATCAATGACATCAAGGCACTATAATAAATATTTTATGCATGTGAGAACATATATATTGTAATATTTCCTGTCAAACTCAAGCTGGCATATCCCAACTTGAGTTAGAAGTTTGTAAGCAACAAAAAAGACAATGATGAGGGAAGTGACAATCGGCACGAATGCTTAAACTACGAGAAACTCACATCAAGGACTTGAGTGCATACAATAAGATGTTTGAGAACACAAAACCTAGTGATGAAAACACTAAATTTGCAACTAAAAAGAGAGATATGGTATGAAGATATTGATACTCTACATGGGATTGAGCCTTAGATAAAGGCCATTTTTATTTGGATGATCATATTATTAATGTGACATAATTCAAATCATTTATGTGAATCCAAATTGAATTGGAAGCCAACATTCAATGTTAGCTTTTTAACTATATTTGAGAAAAAAAAAAGGTCTTAATTTAATAGAAAGCAAACAAGTCTTGATGTAAGGTTCAAGATACAATACCAATTCTTACTAAAATATTGAACAGTTGTGGGACCTCATGCATGGTTGATATCAGCGTTTTTTGGAAGTTTATGAGAGGTGTATTACAAATATTGGAGGAAAAAATATCAATATTTGTTGGGTGTTTGTTAGGTTCTTGAAAGTTTGTAAAAGATTCCTAATATTTTTCAATGATTGCTCACATCATATTAACAATAATAAAATGTTTCTATATTCATGAATACATAAATATTTGAGAGAGTACTTCATGAATATTATATATACATGTGCATATTGATGAGTCACCAAATTAATTTGATCAAGTGTGAATCCTGAAACATATTATAATTAAAAAAAAAATTAAAATAAAATTTAGAATTATACGAAGTTCAATTTTAGCACAGTTATAGTTGAATTGAATGTGTCAATGAGACGAACCGAGTGATATTAAAAGTGACATGATCCAAGTACAAATAAGCCTAGGTTAAGTGTTTGAGGCATACTTTAAATTTCGCTATATTAATTGAATGATCAAGCGAGCCTTGAATATTGCATGCTTATGGCAAATTGAGCGTCTCGATGAGAGGAATTTAACAAGCTAAAAATAACTCAATTCCAACGTTAGCAAGGCACCTAAATGTTGAAAGAACTATATATGATCAAGGAAATCAATATATACCAATATATTGAGAATTTTTTTTAGAAATATGCTAAAATAATGAAAATGCCATTTTTCAAAACTATATATTCACACAAATTTTCATATAAAAAGGAGAGAATGAGAATAGGGCTCTACCAAATTATTACGGCCACCTCTACCAAAGCACACCATTGCGTATAAAGATGATGCACATTATCAACATTAACCTGATTTACAACATCAAAGCCAATATTTATACTAGATTTTGATTTTTTGATGTTCTCTTGTTAAAGGAGAACAACTGAACATATCATACATAATACCTTCATCACAAGTTCAATGACATAAGATTCTTATAAATTCTAGCATGGTATTAATTTTTTTTATATAATTTATGTATATCATGTTGCACTAATTACTTATCTAATTATGGGAAGATAAGTTATATGTAACCTACGATATATACTATTACAATCATTTCAAATAGATCACGTCCCATATTTTTTTTCTACGTATTTCACGTAAATTGTTAATGGCTCTTATAACTTTTCATTGATCTATGTGTGTTAGATCTTCATATAAAACTAAGAAGTTAATTTTTTTATATATATCCATATAAATATTTAGCACACAAAGTTTAGCATCACCTTTGAAAATTGAGTGTAGGTTTGGGCAATCCTTGCTATAACCTTGAAGGGTTGTTCACATCGATGATCTAAGCTCAATTGTAATAGGATAATTCCTTCACCATCTATTGATTTTTTAGTTTCGAAAGAAATAAGTCAAAATTAGGGGACAACTTTGATTACAAGATCGAAGGGATAACATCATAGGCATAGTTGTAATAAGAAGACTCCTATTTTCTATTATTTCTTATTGCGTCAATTATAAAAGAAGCGAGTCAAAATAGGGGCAACATCATTATAACCTCAAAAGGATGATATCCTAGGAGCGGTTATAATTAGAGAACTCTTTTGTTATGTTTTACCTTGTTCATTCAATTTTACGGAAAGATGTCAAGATTGTGGGGCAACCTTAGCTATAGCTTCAAAGAGTCATTCATGTTAACACGCCAAGCATGCATGTAGGTGTGCAAATCCTTCCATCATCATTTTTCCATGCATCTAAAACAACCTTTCTAAGAATTATCTTTCCGAGAGCTTCATATAAATATGAGAAATTATATTAAAAATTGTCTAAGTGAGTTTTAAATTTGACACAGTCTCCAATTGGAATTTTGCTCATTGCGCAAGGTCACAACCATTATCTTAAAATGGTGATAACAATCCAAGGGCAGTTCAGTTTTACATTTGCTTCATGATAAATATGGCATTCATCCCATCATAATCGGGGTACAATTGATCACATGTTGATTCAATTCGATCTCTTTCATATAAGTTAACATAATCAAATAATACTTTAATGATTAACCTCAAATAGGTCAATGATCTTAGGTGGATTTTTTTAGACCTCTTTCACACATAGTAAAATCATTGAGTAAGAGAAATTAACTATTCAATTGAAGTTCTTTGGGGTAGATAAGAACATTTCGAGGTGACATTAGCATTGCCGCGTTAACAACAATATTGGTAATAAGAGTAGTCGAGTGAAACTTCTACAACAAAGCAACAATAATTTTGGTAACAAGAGTAGTCGAGTGAAATTTTTAATTAGCTTATTAATCATTAATTAATTATGAAATGTTATGTTTAATTAATTTAAATATATTTTAATTAAGATTAATAGAAAATAAATCTAACAAGATATTCAAATAGTAAGAAACAGTTCATATGATTTTACTTTGATTGAACAACTATCTAACCAATCATAATTTTATCCAAGCAGCCATAAATATGTTCAAAAACCCTAAAATTTAGCCTGCCGCTGCCTACTCCTTTCGCTTCTTCGCCGGGATACACTGGTTCGGCTTGCGCAATGGGCCGAAAGCTCGAGACAGAGGAAGCCCTTGAAACCCCAGCGAACAACCGTATCGATCTCTCTGAGAAGAAGAAGAAGAAGAATAAGGACAAGAAGAGAAGGGAGAAGGAAGGCCAGAGCAAGGAACTTGATGAAAACGAAGGCCTCTTCATTGAAGAGTTTCAAGCTCTTGATAAATCCGTCAAGGAGGGAAAAAAAAAGAGGAAGCACACTGAGATCGAGCTTGGCGGCGTGGTTTCAGAAATCAATGGAAAGCACCTGGTGAATGGTGAGAAGAGGGAGAAGAAGACAAAGAAAAAGGATAAGACAGAAAAGGCATCCAATTTGCATGCGGACGAAGTCATAGAGGAAGGGGTGGGAGCTATAGACGAAATCGAAGGGGTAAAGGGTGTGGTGGTGTCCGGGAACGGCGTGAAGGAGTCGAAGTACAGGGCTTTGGGTGCGTTTTCAGATTCTGGGCTTCCTGGCGAGGTCCTAGACTGCTGCAAAACTTTTAGTAATCCCTCTCCGATTCAAGCGCACGCTTGGCCATTTCTCTTGGCTGGCCGGGACTTCATTGGTATTGCGGCTACTGGTTCAGGTACTTTCTTGATGCCCATCTTTCTCCTTTTTAATTATAACTAGAATCTATTTTCTTTTTTTGAGACATTTAGTGGTGATTTTTTTTTTTTTTTTGGTAGGAAAAACCCTGGCATATGGTGTTCCAGCGCTTATGCATATTTTACAGAAGGACAATAAGAAGCAATCGAAGAAAGCTGTTCCTCGCTGTCTTGTACTCTCCCCTACAAGGGAATTAGCTCAGCAAGTATGTGTATTTGTGCATCTATTATATATTTTTTTAATTGATGTATTTCAATTTACTAAACTTTATTTCCTATTCTCCCTACGCCTGATACAGTAATTATTAATTTATCCAAAACTGCAATAGAACACACAAAGGCTGTCTAGACGTTTTGATGGAACTATATGCTAAAAAGTTTCTTACACAAGATTTCATCCATTCTGGCCTAGTTGTTTGAGTTATACTGATTATAGGTACTTGCATTGGAAAACAAATGAGTTTAGCATACAAAACCTAGGGCTATTGATGTCCTTAATGTACATTCTGGTACAGTATGAGCTCTGTTTTTCCCATGCAAGTTAACATCTTAGATCACAATTCTGAAACATTGGCTTGATACTGGTCTCCAAAGATACAGGTCTTAACACCCTCACAGATTTGTCAGATGAAAATGCCAGATTTTATACCTATATGCATGTATTTGCATTTGCATACAGATATATACACCTATTACTTTTAAAATTGTGCTTGTGTGGTTTTTGCATACATTTTTATGTACATTGATGCACATATTCAACCTATCTATACGGGGTGCCTCAAACACAATTTAAAAAAAAAGGAAAATGAAAGAAAAAGTTCTCTACTCATACAATTGTATAACATATTTCATAGCTAATTGGGCATATAACATGCAATTATATTGAAAGAGAAACAATTAATAATCATCTCATTTAAAATTTTATTATGTCTTGTATCTATCTCATTGGTCTATGCTTAATATTTTAGTGCATCCCGCCATTTTACAAAATTGCAAATTGCAAATTGCAAATTGCAAATTTGATAAGCCATATGGTGAGAATGCTGCACATTTTGCAGTTGATATGAGTAGACGGGAGCTTAATTATAAATATTTGGATACGTGCTGCAACAAATCAAGTTTTTTGTGTTTTGCAGTTGGCCATTACTTTTGAAATTTTTTAATTGGATAGACAAGAAAACAAAGCATTTCACTCCATTTAGTGTATAAATTTAGACCGACTCAATGATTTTTTTTTGACTTGACGTCCTTAGAAAACCGAAGAATCTTCATAATTGCATCATAGGGGATATGATTGTGGTTTCCTTTTGAAAAATTCTTTAGAAAATGCAGTCCTTTATTCTAGCATTCAAAATAGTCAATGATCGTATTGCTCAGCTTTTTGGGTGCAACAAGCTCCTTCAACTCTTCTTCACAGGCGAAGGAGCTTGAGTTGTTGGATTTATATGTCCTTGCATGAATTACAATTCTTGGTTTCTTCTTGTATAAACCTTGCAAAGGATTCATTTGCTCTGTTTAGTTTATTTTAGGGGAAAGATGGATGCAGAAAGCCTTTATGCTGTCTCATTCTTTTCGTGACATGAATAATTGATCTATGTGCCTCTAAAAAATTTGGTAAAATATCTTGCTATTTGTTATAATATTTTGAATATGGGCCTTAAATAAATAGTTTAATGATTTGCATTTGATGATGGAATTTATCATTCTTGCGTATGGAAAACTCATATGCTTGATCAACATTTGTTGTTGCATTCAAATATTTATTGAGTTATTGCCCCAAGAGAAACATTACCAATTTTCAAATCTCAACAAGGGATACAATATTTTTTTGCATTGAATTGGCTGTCCACACGTGACAAACATTATGAATTATAGATAATGGCAAAGGCAGCTACTATTATATCAGAGAATAACAATCCAAATTTTTAGTTGGTGCAAGGTTGATACTAGTGATGTCAATGTGCTATCAACTATAGAGCAACATTTTGGACTAATCAGTAGTCAGTACTATCTCTTTAGTTTTGTTTTTCCAGTTTTATCTTTGAGATCATGTTGCGTCTAATTATCATTATCATTAGCTTTGTTTCAACTATAACAATGGAATTAAACATGAACATGAATTAAGAAGGTTGATTCGGTTTTTTTTTTTCATGATTATGATTGTCTTCAAGCTTCATGTTTGTTTGATTGTTTGATCTTATTGTTGTATCTTTTATATCTTCGTATAGTTACTCATGCTTTTTGGTGTCCTTGTTAAACAAAGGATCGTTTCTTCATCACCGAATATTATGAAAATATCATCCATATACAGATTAACCATGAAGCATTTTCCTAATTTGAGTTTTTTTTATTATAGATTGCTGATGTTTTACGTGATGCTGGCTCTCCTTGTGGTATAACTTCAGTTTGTTTGTATGGTGGGACTTCCAAAGGGCCACAGATATCTTCTCTTAAAGCTGGAGTTGTAAGTTGCTCATTGATCTTTGCTTTATTTGTTTTCAGTCCCCATTCTAGATTTATGGATCATTTCAATTTATTCAATAGGAAGTGCATGCTTCCATTTTCTCTTGCCAATTTCTTTGCCATTTTAAGCACGGTCTTCTCACTGATCATCATGTGCAAATCTTTGTGTATACATGCTTATGCCCAGAATTTCGTATTTCTGGAATTTTTAGTAATAGCAACACTTGGTTTCCTATAAAAGTTGGTGTGTTTTTTTTCATCTTTCAGGACATTGTTATTGGGACCCCTGGCCGTCTGAGGGATCTCATTGAGATGGGTATTTGCTGCCTGAAAGAGGTTTCTTTTGTGGTAAGATTCTAACATTCTATCCATTTTCCTTTTTTTAAAATGACATATGATCTCTAAGTATGTTATCAACATTCAATTAGTATTGTTGCTATGCTTTTTGATCAAAGCATTTGAGACTTGAGAGTCTAAAAAGTAAGATCAATTTATTCCTTGTCCTCTATCACCATTAAAATAGGCATCTGTTAACCTTTGGATAGCTACTAATACTTAAATCTACAAGTAAAGAACAACCTAATTCCAGTTTTTTGTGTTTGCAATATGAGCTAGCAGTGAACAGCCTCTGCATTTGTAATATAAACTGCTAGAACCAAATATAATGATTTTTCAAATACACCAAAATTAAACTCGAGGGTACATTCCACTCTTCAAAAATTGACTCTACATTTCTTTTATTTCAGACCAAAAAATCAATATTTTTCAAACCCATGTATTTGGAATGCTTTATGCCTCTTTTTCTTCAAACCAAATAGCCTCTTGGTCCCTTCCTCTTCTCCATTTTAACCCTTGCTTGTTTATTTGAAAAAAAGAGTTATCATTAGCGTACTAAGTTTGGTGCAAGAGCACTTCATTATGATGTTATCAGCATAACTTTTTAATTTGAATTGTGGATAGAGCTATAAAAAAAGCTCATCATTTATGAATATCTTGTGTTTGAATCACTAAAAAGTTTGTGTTCTATTCATTCATTAAGAGAGCTGAAATTGAATAATTATTTGGTGCTCATTTGCTTAACGATTAATTTTATTTTATCAATTAAATAGAGCTCATGTTTGATTAATTTTATTTTATTTTTCATATTTATCAATTGGTTAGTTGATAAATTATAAATATAATGATTTTATCATGTTTGGCTTGTTATTTATTTATTCATGCAAAATTCTTTAGTGTTTAGCTCGAATTATAATGACTCTAACATGAATACAATGTTTATGAACTTTATGAACAATTTTAAACCTGAGCTAATTTAAAATAAACTAGAATTAGAACGAGTTGAAAATGACACAACAGGCTCACTTAAGCTCAGCTCATTTATACCCCTAATTGTGGCTTGTCAACATAAATTTGAAGGATTGACAACTATCTGACTTTCTCTTTTATGAAGCTTAATGTTGCCACTAGGGTGTAGCATTGTTCATTGAATGAAAATAGTGTTCAAGTTAAATTCTTGCATTGCTCGAGGCTTTATAAGAGCAAAACTTCCTCAAAAAATTTTGATAGGGGGTTGTTCTTTTATTCTAAATGCCTTTTTGCAACACATTGATTGCAGTTTAACAAATCCAGGCGAAGGAATTCCTATTCTATCAACTAATTTAGTCTTTTATTTAAGTGATAATAATTTTGTCAAGATATAGCCTGCTCCTTACTCTAGGTCTCTTGTTCGTTCATTTGTATTTCTTTTCCATTGAATCTCATAGAATTTATTCATTTATTTATTTTTGGTTAGAGTCGAGCTGGTTCATTTTTCATTACTTATTGTGGTTCTATCCTTCGCAGGTTCTTGATGAAGCTGATCGAATGCTTGACATGGGATTTGAACCAGAGGTTCGATCCATATTAAACCAAACATCCTTAGGTTTGCAACAATTATGCTTGCTTTCATTTGTGGCTTGTTTTCATGCTATGCAATTCTTTAAAAGCTTGGTGAATAAATATATATTTTTTAATGTAGATGATCTAATGGCGTTTGACCTGACCATTTGCAGTTTATTTTGCTAGGCAAATGTTGCTAGTGATTATGAATTAATGACTTTATTTTGTTAATCTGGTCGTGGATTCCAAATAATTGTTTTTTTTTTGAAAGGTGGCACATGCATGGATAGTTCAACAATGGCATTTCTTGTTACACGAAATTGCTGTATTTTTATGCATTTTATGTTAAATCTTATGCACACTATTTTTATTCCCTTTCAAATCACTATGATTAGAGAGGTTCCTTCATGTAAATGTGGGAAGCGAGATAGAAGAATAGCATTAGGAGGAAGTAGCTGAAGTTCGTTTGAAGAGGAGATTATGAGAAATATTTTTGATTGAATTCATTCTACAATTTTGTCAAAACAGAAACCAATAAACCCTATTTGTAGAAATAGGATTGCAAAGTTAATATTGAAAGAAATTCTAGTTCTAATTTGTATTTAAAGTTTAAAATTATCCAAAAAGGATTAAAAAATATTATTTCAATTAAAATAAATCAAAAAATTCTAATTTAAATGAAATAATTAAAATAAATTCTAAACCTAATTTCATGTGCTACATCGATTCCTTTGCGCCTGGGAGAATTTGTCTCTTGCTAGAGCATAAGGGGGACTATATTAAAGCTTTTAGGCAACTAGTATTAAATTTGGCTTTAGGCCAGAGCCAAGGATATCTTCCTAGTTTGCTAAGGAGGTTAGGTTCACATAATTAACTTTGGTGATAGCGAATTCATAAAAGGGTAAGGTCCTAGCTAAGGTAATGCTAGTTCTAGAGTGACTAAGCTGAAACTGGAGCGAGAGCTTGACAATGTCCAAGAGGTGGTTGCATGAGTGGGCATTGCATGCTTATGAGGAGTGTGAGTGTGGGGATTATTATGCAGGGAGGGAGAGAGGGATAGTGGTGGGCTGACAATTAGGTTAATGATTATGGTGCTTTACTACCATATTGAGAGAAAAATGAGAAAAAATTCAAGTAGTGTCTACTTCTTTTGGGAGATCCATTTTAGCCTCAAACTATTGAAGGTGCCCAATTTAGTTCTTTAACTCTTCAAAATTGTTCCAAATTAGTCTCTCATTGTCAGAACTGTTGTTGAATTGGGTGGAAAGCTCATGTGAGAGAGATTTCTTAGAGGATAAATATGTCAAACAATTTTCTACTGCTTAATATAACGTTCTAGATTTTTTTACTATTATTAAATTCGAATATTCATTAGCGTGAGGTTGCCCACTAGCTAAGTTGAAATAGTTGAATGGCTTTCACCAAAAAGGTTGTCGAGCTACTGAAGGTGTATCTTGATTGGACGTTGACCCGAGGACAAGTTTCATGTTTTTCCCACACCTTGCTTGAGGAGCCCACATCTTGATTGAGGAGGATTACTGTGGAGGGCGATAGATACGAACATTAATTCTCCTGCGATGGAGATTAAGTTGAGAAGCTTATTTTTTTTCAAGCACGACCCATTGTCATATTTTTTCTGTGAGGTGCCGTTTTAATAATAATCAACCTCAGTGGTGTCGTTCTTTGTCCGCTGCTCATCTCAATCTCCATTCTCTATCTACTTCTCATCTTGATCTTGATTTTATTTTTTGTGTACTGCTTGTTGACAATCTTTGATCTCCAATCTCCCTTCTCCTTTAGTTGTTATTAATTTGCAAAAAAGCTCGAGTAAGTTAGGGATTGTGATAAGAAAAAAAAGCAAGAAGATATAGAAAAATGCAAAAGATGGCTATACCCTCTAATCCTACCCTCAGTGTAAACTTTATGTCTATTTACATAGTAATTCTAATGGCGAGACTTGTTTGGATCAATTTTGAAGAGTTAAAAGCAGCAAAATGGCATAGTCAATAGTCTAGGCCTAAAATGGGCCCCATAAAAATCCCATGGATCATTTTGGGCTTTTCTTAGAGGAAAACTATTTGTTGTTATGTTATCAATTGAATCCTTTTTCTTATTTATATGCAAAGAAGAATATAAAAGGAAGAAAATAACGAGAATATTCTCAATTATGTGGATATAATACATCAATAATAACATATCTTATTAGTCTAGTACTCTCCTATGATTAAGACTTTGTTTGGGACAACTTTTTTACTACTTCTTAAAGCAGCTTTTAAGTACAAAAATTTTAACTTTTGTACTAAAAAGTTGTTTTAAGAAACAGTATGAAAGCCGTCCCAAACAAAGCCTATGATAGCAATTTACAAGTGGGGTTCACTGTTCCGATCCATAGTGTTTTTGGCAATGTAACTAATAATCTGACTTAGCACGTTGAACTTTCAACTCAAACATTTATGGCTGAGCATTTTTCTTGTATTGTCTTCCTATACAGTACGCCAGATGGTCATGTTTAGTGCCACATGGCCTCCTGTTGTCCACCAGTTATCCCAAGAATTTATGGATCCAAACCCTGTTAAGGTATTCTTTGTGCTTTTTGCTTCATCTGTTGAGTGTAGATTATATGATTACTTTACACATGACCTCTAACTGCTTTCACTTTATGAAGGTTGTTGTTGGATCAGAAGATTTAGCAGCCAATCATGATGTGATGCAGATAGTAGAGGTACGGTCAACTTCTATCATTTTATATTTTATCTCAGGCTGTGGCAGTAAATGTACGCTGTGTTTTCTGAACTTTATTTCTTGAGTGTAGGTGTTGGAAGACAGAGATCGGGATTCTCGATTGGTTGCCTTGCTAGAGAAGTATCATCAATCACATAGGTATGGTAACAACTTTTTTTTTTCTTTTGTGAATCAGCTAGTTAATTTGAGTGGCTTGACCCTTAGAGATAGGATACGAAATGAGCATATACATGAAAGGTTGGAGTAGCTCCGGTGGAAGATAAGATTAGAGAGAGTTACCTTAGATGGTTTGGTCACATTAAACGGAGGCCTTCTGATGACCCGATTAGGAAAGTTGAGATATTAGATTCAATTTATGTTAAGGAAGGTAGAGGTAGACCTAAAAAGACATGGTTAGAAAATATTAGAAATGATATTTATTTATTAGATTTAAATGAGAATTTGACTTTTAACTGGACACAATGACGAAAAAGGATTCATGTAGCCGACCCCACATAGTGGGACAAAGGCTTGATGTTGTTGTTGTTGTAGTATTGGTTTATTAATGCTGCATCACTATGTAATTTTGTAATCCTACTATTTTTTTCTGAATGATTTTTTTGGTGGTTCAATGACTTAAGAATGCCAAGGCCTTTTTTTCCCCTTCTAAACTTAATCTTATTGTGCAGTTTTGCTTACAATAATTATCTTAAAATCTATCTCCTATGAATATGGATGTGGTCAAGTAATATCAGGATTAACACGCTTGCAATTGTTCATTTGGTCTCTTTAAAATGTTAAATTGCATTAAAAAATGCCAAGTTTGGCTATCTGTTACTGTCAATTTACACTTTATATCTACTCTTTGTGAATAAAGCAGTATTTAAGAGCTAAGCCATGGATTTTTTTTTTAACATTTTTTTTCTACTTAACCTTATATTCTATATTTTCCATTTGGTACTTGCCTAAATTGGATTTCAATGTTAGAGTGCTATAAGCGCTCATGAATCCATTTTGTCTCGTTCTTCCTCTTTCTATGTATGATTGACTTATAATTGTGTTTCAATTTAATATGTTTCTTTAGGTTTCTGTTGATGTTAATTTAACTATTGAGTTCTTTTTACAGAAATAGAGTTTTAGTTTTTGTATTGTACAAGAAGGAAGCTGTTCGTGTGGAGAACATGCTTCAACAGAGGTATTTTTCTTTTAGTTTTTGTTTTCTACTTTGTGTTTTTATTAATTGGCCTAGAAAACAAAGTGCTAGTGCTATATTAACAAAGTTGTTTTTACAGGTTTTTTATGACTTAATGTTTGCTTTTTGAGCCATTAGTTCTTGGATATGCAACTAATACAATCAATATTGGTTTCTAGAGGGTGGAAGGTTGTCTCTGTGCATGGAGATAAGGCTCAACATGATAGAACGAAGGCTCTTTCTCTATTCAAGGAGGGGAAATGCCCTTTAATGGTAAGCTACATATAAAAAAAGATGTTAAATGCCTTTTTTCACATTTTCTGAAATTCTTTTTTTGCTTTCATAAATTGAAAATCACTATGTGGTTTTAGATTGCTTAATTTGAAAATTTGCCCAAAAATTTGGTGTTGTTTTTGTAATATGAACTGAAGATATTGCTGCATCACAGAAACTTTGAATCTTTTGCTGTCGTTTTATCATGTGATATTCGAGTGAGATTTGTTCCATTTCATTCAAAAATATTTCCACATTTATCTCATCATGGTTCAAAACAATTACATAATTTAACATCTTATGATTTTGTTGCATGAATGATGAATCAGCTTGTAACATAATGATTAAAGGCTTTATTTGGGATGGCTTTTTAACTGCTTTGTAAAGTTGTTTTTTAGTACAAAAATATCTTAGAATAAGAGAAAAAAACAGTGATCTCAAGCTATCTCAAACAAAACCTAAATGCCAAGGAATAAGCTTGAATTATGTTACATTATCCAATATGCTGCAGATTGCCACTGATGTTGCCTCACGAGGTTTGGATATTCCTGATGTTGAAGTGGTGATTAATTATAGCTTCCCTTTGACGACCGAAGATTATGTCCATAGAATAGGGCGGACAGGACGTGCCGGCAAGAAGGGAGTTGCACATACCTTCTTCACAAAGGAAAATAAGGTACCGACCATTTTCAATAAATCTCCATCTTTTGTGAGAGAGTTATTATGCATTCAATATAACATTTACATTATATGTAAATGTTTCCTAATCATTCGTAGGGCCTTGCTGGGGAACTTGTGAATGTTCTTAGAGAAGCTGGGCAAATTATTCCCACAAATCTTACCAAATTTGGAACTCATGTAAAGAAAAAGGTACGTGTTCTTTTTTTTTTTTTTAATATTCTCATCAATGGTGGCACAAATTGTTCAATTAGCGTTTTTGTTAGAATATGTTCTATACAAAATGTGTTCATGAATTTCCCAGGCCATTTGTTAGGTATCCTTTTGTTTTTTCATCTGCTTGAGAGATTATTCTATGCGGACGTTGAACGCAGCTCTACATCTGGATACCAACCAGAATGAGCCACGTCAGCGATATCGAGCTGCGGGCTTATTAGGTATCTGGATGGAATTTGGCTTCCGCATAGAATATTTTTTCCCTTAGAAGTTGCATTTCCACCCCAACTGTTTTTATAAATTGTATGATAAAACTTATGGTTTCAGTAGTGGTTGCGGCAGTTCAGTTTGGAAAGCTGGGATATGCATTATTACAACATCAATGTTTTTAGTGAAGTATATTGTACTTGGGAACCAGCCTCCCAAACTAGATTGCATGGCTGGGATGTAGGTGTACAGTGCAAATGGCTGCAGAGCTTTGAATTTGTGTTTGGTCATTGGTCACTCATGCTAAAGTTTCTTGGTATTAGAATAAAGGAAAAAAAAATTGACTGAATGTATTGTATCATGACCAAAACTTGATCAGAATTGCTCTCAAAGCTATTGTGCCATTGGCTTTACGTTTAGTAATCAATTAAATTTATGTTGCACTTATCTCAAAGTAAATTCTATATACTTGAAAGCCATCCTTGTAAAAAAAAAAATATCTGAATATCTTGTCCGAATTTTTTTCCTAGAACAGAAGATTATCTTTTAGCACCATTTACTTTTCGATCTGTTCATCCGTTTTGTTTTCCAAGTTCTTGTTCATTTCGGTAAATTTGAATTTAGACGTGGGGATACGAGGCTTTCAGGTTGCAAGAGATTATTACGTGCAGTGTCTGGACCTTCTGGAGGTGAATCCGGACGCGCCACGTCACCCGGAAGTACTAGGCTCCGGGTGATGTGGCGGACGAACCGGATGCCGCACGTAATAATTTTCCTCAGGTTGCACATCTAAAATCCTTTCACTTCATTCTCTTCTTATAGATGGAAGCTCAGGCTTTACTAAAAACTTATATTTAGAGGATCGATCCTTGGTTTTGAATGATTATGAACTCCTCCAAAGCTAAACTCATTTCATTTTGAGCACAAATCAGCAATCTGATGTTGAACTACTTGTTTATTCTAATTGCTTTTGCAATAATTCTATTCTGTCTTGTTTTGTAGGAGTCGAAGCTCTATGGATCACACTTCAAAGAGATCACAGCTGATGCTCCTAAGGCCACAAAAATAACCTTTTCAAACTCTGATGAAGAAGATTGATTGTTAAATCTCTCCTATCCAACTGCGACCTTCTGTACGATTTATCAAAGGGACTGTGCATTTTTCTAACAGCTGGTTCCTCCTTCCCTCACAGATCTCCACTGGGATCTCATTCCATTTAGCCACATGGATTACTTACACATGCAATAGTTGATATGGGGGTCTGTTGATGTGTTTTTATCATTTTTGTTTTGGTTTTGTATGTATATTTTTATTCAATTTGGTCTATAAGACTTCCTATTTAAACATAATTTTGTCATGTATGTGAAGTTATTTATAGGCCTGTTGCTTGCACAAGATATGTAACCTGACTGGAAATTCAATTGGCATGGTTGTGTTACACGTATAACATTCCTTTTTATGGGATTAATTATTCTGTGCAGATGCTTAATTCCGTCACAAGATCAATCAGAATGCGCCACATCATCCTTGTGTTTCGTACCGCAGCTCGATATCGATGATGCGGTGCATTCTAGTCAGTCTCCGAACGGCGTTTTATGTCTGGTCTTCTCGCAGAATAATTTCTCATTTTATTAGTTAATTATCTAACCCTAATTATCTCCTGGGCTTGTGTTCGCACCATGATATATTTGTAAATAAAATTCAAATCAAGGTTGATCATACTGTATTAAAAAAAAAAAAAACTAATTTATAGCTAATTAATAAGCATTCATTTTCAATACACGTGATGTTAAAAACAAAGGATTAAAAGATAAAAATATTATTCATTTTAAACAGCAAGAATAGTATTAAAAAAATGAAAAGGCTTAATTAAAAAAACCACATAAAATATAAAAAAGGGGGCAGAGTGCAAAGAAATAGATTTTCCTATAAACAAGCTAAAGGGTTATGAAGATAAAAAATTAATAATAATTTGAATAAATGTTACGCAAAGCGTAAACAAAATTTACAAAAAATAAATTTAATTTGCTATGAAATTATGACAAATAAATTAATATTATAGTTTAGAACAAATTCTAACTTTAATACCATGTTATTTAATTATTTTTATGTGTAAAATAGTATAAAATATTATTCTTATTTATTTATTAACGCTTAAACTTTGTGAGTTTTAATAAATTAAAAAACTCTAAGAAGCTTTTTATAATAAAAAAATTAGGGAAAACCCGACGAGGGAGGAATAAAGATAGTAAGAACCGGTTTTCAGTTTTCACACGCAGAAGAGAACAGCTTGATCGTAGTCGGAGCGGAACCATGGCCGCCGGGAGACCTGCCGGCTTCTTCAAATCTCTTGATCGGATAATCTACCCTGGGAAATGGAGTTCCAGAGCAATCAATACTCTCGTTAGTGAGCACACTGCCAAATGGATGCAGGTATTACTCATAAACAGCTTCTTTCTTCAATCCTCATACACGGGGATGGGGTTTTCTTCTAACTTAGATAACCTGCATTCATTTCCTTATTAAATTTAATATTTAATGGTTCTTATGAACGAGCAGCTGGTTGCTTAGGGTTTGGTCAAGACAACCCGTGTCGCCGGGGAAATCTAGGGTTTCGCAGAGATCTATGAGGCGCGTTGTAGTGTAGTGCTCACTTTCCTATTTGTGGTTGGTAGTAGATAGATATAACGGTTTGAAAGTCATGGTTTAGTTTTTCACTCATTTCTGTAATTGAAATCCAAATAATCGCATTGGGCGAGGGTTCGGAGATGTTTATAGTGTTTCAACATGTCATTGGTTTCTAACTACATCAAAACAAATAAGGGAATATAGTTACTTGTTCGATTTTCAAAACATGATTTCTAAATTCAGGCAAACATATAGGGCTTTAGTTTAATGGTTGATTTCATTCTTTAGGATTTTAAATTTTGTGAATATTCAAGATTGACTTGTTTGTTGCTCTTGCCTAGTTACATTTTTTTTATAGAAGTTATTGATTAACTATGGAAGTATCTCATAATTTTCCATCTAGATGCAAAATGTTTTGGCTTACATGAGAAATTATTAGTCCAAACAATGCACATAGAGGTAGGTGCAGATTACGAGAGTACACAACTATTTAGTATTGTTGTCCACACCTATTTTCGTATATTATTCACTCCTAATAGTTTCTCACCTTCTTTGGCTAGTGATTTGCTAAAAATAGAATGTTGTATACGACTCAGGAATCATGGCTAATTTGGATGTGTCTAGCATGCAACAAATTTGTGAAGAAATAACCTTCATTAAAATTATTTTAAAACAAACAATGGAAACTTATTTTGCATGTAAATGCATTGCATAACATTTTCACCAAACCAAATAATTATTTTTTATTGAATACAAGGATAACGACTCAGAAGTCTATACTAGTCCTACAAAATCCATATAACCCATTAAAAAATCCTATCATGCTCATATAAACAATAGATATGCAGTTTGCCTCCTCCACCTTGATTGTTCAAATTTTAGTATCAAACTGTTCCTTGGATTCTGAAGATTTTGACCCAATTATTGTTAAAGAGATAGATTAGGTAGAACCTACACTTATATTGCAAAGTGGTCCAAGAAGATCTTGCTTTTATGCTATTTTCTATTCTTTCCTTTTTGAAATTACGTCCCATTCTTTTTTTTTTTAGCACAGCTGAGATTAAGAAATAAGCAGATGGGCCTTAACCACCAATGGCCACTAATTGTCAGGATCATTGGCTACTATATTTTATTACAAGCTTTCAACTCTCGTAGTCTCTACTCAGTGTTGTAATTGTTGGATTCGTATGCTGTAATTTTGAGTTTTGAATTTTCAATGAGTATATCCTTCGTAGATATCTAGTATTTTTAATTATTGTTCCAATGTTGTTGTGCTTTTTATGAAATAATGTGGGCATGGAAAGAGGTGTTTGTGTGGGTATTGCCAGTGCACTATCATTATATTCCATGCATTGCCATGTTTCTAGTGGGCATTATGGCATCTTTCATAACATGCGTTATGATGTCTGCTGCTTGTATATTTCTAACCAGTATGATATCTTTAATCATAAAGTTGAAAAATGATGCGTCGAACAATGTTCTTTTTCTTCTTTTACCTTTGTTGTTGTGGCTAAAATTGGTGCTTGGAATAGTGCTCTTATTTATAACAAAAAAGATGTTCCATCAACATATTACTTTATCTATTAGCCTATTTATTTTCAAAGAAGCTTCATTATAATTTTCAATCTACTTGTTTATATGTTTCCTTAAAATATATTGTCTTTTGAATCCCACTCGTACTTACTTTTCTTTATATTTGTGCCACAATTTGAAAATGTTATACAAACATTGAACTATTAAAGTCATGAGGTCACCAGTGCTTTGGTTGACCTGCAAGATGGAGCAGGCAAGAACGACAAACCTAGACTTTTTGTAGTGTGGGTATTCCCTCCTTGCTTCTCATTGTACAACTAGGTTTGGAACATAATTTTGACATGGTCTATCTATTTGTCTTAATATATTCTCCTAAATACCATTGTTTAAAATTGCACAATATGAGGCTCACCTCAATGTAATTCCAGTGAAAAATGCCTCAAGGTTTATGCCTTAAGCTTTTTTTATGTGGTTCGCCTTGCGGAACGCCTCGCCTCACTAGTGTGAGGCGTATGCCTCACTTTATATATATATATATATTTTATTAAAACTTATCAAAATCATAAATTAAAAATCGTGCCTTCATGCATCCTCGAGCCACAACTTGCTCTCGACTGCCTTGAAATCTAGACTGCTTCCTTCACCAAAGCCACCACCGTCATAGCCACTGCCGAGGATCACTTGAAAGCCGTACAACACCACCACCTTTTGCTCTAAAAATTTTGGAGTATTAATCTCATCTTTATGTTGACAACATATTTATGAAAGAGAAATATGACTTAAATAAATGAAGAAGGAAGCAAATTGGGAGGTATTAGACTCCACAGGATGAGGCAAGGGAGGGATAAATTTGTTATGACGATGACTCAAATAAAGCCTCCCTCAGTGATAACAATGTGGATGATTTTTGAATTGTTGATAACTTTTTTAGCTTTCTTTATAAATTAAATCTGGATGAGTAGGGAATTGAAAAATAAGGAATTTGAAGTTTAACTTGATATTATAGGATACTTTTATGCAATTCACATATTTTATGTTATTATGCTCTTATAGTATTTGGATATCAATTATATTTCACATAATTTATCACTTTTCACTTCACGTATTTTGCAGTTTTTTGTTTCATATGTATGTCAATTTATCACTTCATAGTTCAATAAAAATTTAATATGTATTCCTTTAATATATTACTTGAGTATTATACAAAAAATTACTTTTAACTTTTATTTTCACTTTAAGAAATTTTGAATTTTGAGACTTCTTACACCTCAAAATACTTTGAGGCTTACACCTCGCCTCCCGAACAAAAAATGCTTCAATATTCAATTACAAAATGTTAAGCCTCGCTGAATCCCTTTACTACTAATTTTCTTTTAAACTTGTATCACATAGATTGAAAACTCTATCCAAGCATCAAACTATTACAGTCATTAGGTCACTCGTTCTTTTGTTGAGCTCCAAGATTGAGCTGTCAAGAATGACAGGCCTAGATGTTTTTCGTAGTTTGGGTATTTCCTCCTTACTTCTCTCATGGTACAACAAGGTTTGGAACATCATTTAGACCTATTCTGTCTATTTATCATTAGGTCTCGGGATTGATTGTGCTCTCCTCTTCTTACAAGTGGTCTTAATAAAGTTTGAAATCCAGCCTACACATAGACTATTAAGTAATTGTTTCACTAGCTTGCCAACTCGACTCTTTAGTTGATCGTGCCAATGCTGTTTCTTCAACCTTGTCTGTTTCATCTCCTTCATTTTTTCTAGCTATGACATTTTCATATTACTCAGTAGTTCAATTGTTAGGTTGATAAGGCGGAAGCCATGTCAGCTCACATGAAGGAGACTTGAAGAGAAGGATTTATATCAGCTCATTGTAACCTACATATAAACAGCCTTAGATGGGGGAATAATACTCTGCATTCTTCACTTTATCAATAGAGCTTCCCTTCTCCCTTTTCTATTTGATCTTTTTATACTCATCTCATTATTTGTTAGGGTTATGGATTGCTTAATTCAAGTTGAGCCTGATAAATTAGTACAATTACACTATTCAACCCAAAATCTTTAACTTATGTGTAGGCCAACTAACAGTTTATGAACATTCATTTTTATTTTCAACTTTTCATTATTCAATACTTTCTTAAGTCTTATAAAATCTTCTCACATGAGAGTACTCTACAGTAGCCATCACTCCCCCATCCTCCTCTTACTTGGATTTTTTATTTTTCTTTTATGCAAGCGTAGCTAGTGGACAGAAAGAGCTTACTCCATCGCTCCCGAAATTTTCTCAACCATGAGAAATGTGTAGCATCAATCATTGAGCCAAGCCACACATTCAACTTTATTGCCCATTCACTTTTAACATTTTGTTTTCACTTTATAGTTTGCAAGAACACATGCTTAATCAATAATTTAGGAATTCCTATAAGATCAACAATATTAGCATACTATCTTTCCCATGTTTGAAGCTCGTAAGTTGAGAATCATCTTACTTAAAAAGTTTCTATTTGTCTATGGAAATTTGTAAAGCAGTGTGTGTTTCTGCGGCAATTGATTATTGCAGGATAGCAGCAGGAAATCTCCCATGCAGTTGATTAATGAAGTACCACCAATTAAAGTTGAAGGCAGAATCGTAGCCTGTGAAGGAGGTATTAATTCTCTTAAACTCATCCAAGCTATCAATTCCATGTTTTGATTGCTTGCGATTGATTCTTCTCATTTAAAACAAAACCCTGTGTAGCAGATCAGTCTGACATGTCATATGAGGTTGCTTATGCTCCTGTGTTTTGGCTCTTTGGAATTTTTTAAGTTAATTTTTTTAAACACAAAAGAATCGCTGTCACAAATGAAGCATCAAATCAAATTCACCATTGGAATAAGGACTTGAATTAGGATAAATTGTTATGTGCGGATACCAGACCGTCCGGAGGCGAATCAAAACGTGGCATGTCACTTTTTTGTTGTGTACCGCTGTATACCGGGTGACGTGGCGCTTTCTGATTCGTCAGAATAAATTTTCTTATGAATTGGAGAGGATTGAAATACAAATAGAACATGCGTATGCTTACTCTTTGTTGTTGCTGTGCAGATTCGAACCCTGCCCTTGGCCATCCAATTGAATTTATATGCCTAGATAAAAAAGATCCAGCTATATGCAAGTACTGCGGCCTCCGCTTTGTTCAGCATAATCACCATCATTAACAGAATCCATCAGCTTGCTTTGTATCGTAATACAACTTAATCTCCTGACTCCTGTTCTTCAGAGTAAAATTTGTTTCTCATCCATAAAATAGGTTTTTTTTTTATAAAATAAGCCTTCAAATATTATAAAAAAATAATAATATAATATAATATAATATATATATATCAAGTAGCTTGATAAGCTTTCGAGTCGAGTTGGGTTGAGCTCGAACTCGAGTTCGTTTATCATACGAGCTTGATTGTAGGCTCGAGCTCGAAGCTCAATAAGTTCAGCTCGTGAGCTCGTTAACGAGTCGAGTTTGAGCCGGCTCAACTCACTTACACCCCTAAATAAAGCCATATTTCTGTAAATAAATCTACATATTAAAGTTATATCAAATAAATTTCACAGAAGTTACATAATGGCTTTTAAAGGTGTGTATGATTGTCCAGAGCGCACATTAATTTTATTTGTATTTTCAAAAATATGCGTCGCAGCATAAAATTGATACGTTGTAATTCAATTTAAAGATCTTTGCAAAACTTTGAAAATTATTTAGCATCATTAATCTTTTAACTTTAACATCAGTCAAATCAAATAAAAGAGTGGCATCAGTAATCAGGAGAACAATCACTTTCATTTTGCTGATTGAAGCTCTATTACACATATCAAGTTAATAAGGAATCGATTCGTAATGCATAAATGCTTTGTTGAATCAATCTCTTTCCGATCAGTATCAAGTAAAGTGCCGACACTGGACAGTCCGGATACTAATTAAAATGCACGATGTCACCTAGCATACAATGGTACCAAACACCAGCATCGAGCAAACAAGTGATATAGCGCATTCTGATTTATCTTCGAACGCCATCCGGGATTCGCATCAAAGGCAAAAAAATTCTGCTAAAGCTTCGTTTGATCAGAAGTTTTTTATGTTTATTCCATTTAAAAACAATAAATTCATTTCTTTTTTACTATTTAGTTCATCTAATCAAGTTCCCGACAACTGCATTTGTTTTATTTTTCTGTTGTTTTGAGAAAACTTTTTATATATTTTTCTCCGATAAAAAACTCCATTTTCTGAATCAATATTTCTTAAAACTGTCTTTTACAAAATACCAAAAAACCAAACAAAACCCGACTTAATTTGTTAAATTGTTACATAAGAGCATTAAGTTGCAAATGCTTTGACAAATCTTAAAATAATAATAAAGCCATTATCAATGTAAAGAGAGACAATTTGACAGATTTCCTTAAAAGTCAAAAAGAAGTTTGAAAACTACCAAAACCTACAGTATCAATAGAATTTGCTTATCATATACAGAATTTGCAACCTCAGATATAAGCAAAATATTATATACAATATAGCCGAACTATGATTACACAAAACAAAATCACCAAAATTTTCCAAGAAAAAAGATTTTCTAACCATGTAGAGAGAGAGATCAAGAAATGGGAACTCCAAGGAAGGTAAATACTCTCACCCGAAATAACCGTGCAAGATCATTGATCTCAACCAAAACCTGTGTTTTCTTAGCCCCATAATGCTTCAAGTAAGCTTGGATTCTCCTCGACAGCCTATTAGCAACCTCAATGGTCAAACTTGCGGTTGCCTTATTGCCAGTTAACACTCGCAGCGTGCTCTCAGCATAGGAAGGATGCGATGCTAAACGATTTAGTAGAATCAGAGCTTCTCTAATAAGAGATATCCTGCAAAGTAATATCAAAGCATCAATATAAAGGAAAGATAGCCATATCTTTTTATTTCTGGAATGAACGCAATTTTCTCATCATCAAAGTACCTGAGAATGAACGATGCAATAAGATAAAGGAAATATAGCAATATCATTCTTATGGACATTTACCTTTCCTTACACAAGTCCTGGGTAGCACAATTATTTGGTATTTCAGCATCCATCTCGTATGCTAATAATTGTATGATCAGCTCCAGGAAATTGATTTGCTGAGGGGTTACTGAACGTAAAAGAACTTCAAAGCCAGGTTTCCCAGATGATGCTATAAATGCCAACAAAATTATCACTCGCCTCCGAAATTTGAGCTCCTATAAGTTTCATATGTTTAACAAAAAATTTAAAAAAACTAATAATAAAATATTCTCACATACTTTTATAAACAACAGATTGAATCGTTGTTTTTTAGGTGTGGCAAAAAAAAAAATTATGCAGTTTTTTATTCTGTGCGGAGTCTAGAGGGCGTCCGGAGATCAATAAAATGTGCCACATCACTCCATTATTGGGTACCCAGCTCGATAACCACACTAGGTATCCCTCGGTACTGCTGGGTACCTGGCGCTTAACCGGACGGTTCTCCCGTCCGGTGTCCGTGCAGAATAATAGCTCATGTTTTATACTAGTGGAGAGATAATGTTTAAGCCAAACACTTTAGGATTGGAAGCATGATCTGAACACTGTAGTGGGCAAGCATATTTAACCTCGAACTATAACTCTGGCAAACAATGGCAAGAATAAACAGGCTTGCTTGGTCTGAATATGCTCCCAATAAACACAATGATATATATCAATAATGAAAAGGAGTGACGAGATTTGAATACCATACACCATAAAAAAAATGTAAGTATGTAACCATGGCAGACCTTGGACAGGCAAGAATTTAAAAGGGGAATAAATTTTTAAAATGTAGATATTGGTTCGTAAAATTAATAATTAAGGAATTTTAGAAAAGATCAAAAGCTTTGATGTCGATGAAAAAGAGACGCGTCTTAAAATGTAGTGAAAAAAAGAATATCCAACATATAAGAAAATTTGATTAGAATTTAAAAATGATGAAAAAAGAATAATGATTCAACCATGAGCTGAACCCAAAACCAGTGGGGCTAAAGTCAATGATGCATGTTGATTAACGATGATGCCAAAATGATACCTCTACCAATATTGTTGTTCATAAGAACATTTAAAAAAAAAAAGATTTTCAGGTGGCACCACAGTAAGACCTCAAATAAAAAGGATCACGATTGGAAAGACTTTGGTGGTATAGCAACCTTTTTATGTCAATTGAATGATTCAATTGTAGAGGCGAAACAGAGAACTGCTATTGCAAAAAATGGGCTCAATACTAGGTTTTATAGTAATTAAGTAATTACCATTTACCAAGTACGATAAAATGGTTGAAACCATAAGAGGTTGAATGTTGTGTATCATTGTAAGCTAAAGTCACATTCTAGTGAACTTAGTGCTGCCCCAATTGGAACTTCCACAAAGCTCTCCACATATATGAATAAGTTGGGGAAAATTTATGCTGTGATTGACTTCAAAATAAGTGTCATTCCGGAAGCACATTAGTTTATGAAGATACCTTTACCTTGATTTTAGTTAATATTTTAAAGGACATTATCTTTTTAAGTGGTGCAATGTAATTTAAAAAAAGCCACTGGCTGAACTTGTTCAGACTAAACAAAATTTAGCAAAGTTGATGTCAAGTGCAAGCATGTGGGGGCAGGTGAAAAAGTCTCTTGATTGAGCCCATCTATGTCAGAAAAAAAAAAGTGAAAAGGAAAGACGAAGGGCCAAAAGGATTTGTATGGTAAAAAAAAATAGAGAAAGGAATTACAATATGATGGTTTTTTTTTCTATTTGAGGGAGAGCATGATATTCTCAGATGACTGAGCCAAGAGAGTAGGGGGTGAAGGTAGAATGGGTAGAGACTAAGAGGGACCAATAAAAAAAACTTAAAAATAGAACAATTGGAACTAGGCTGAGTACTTCAATTTCTAGAAATAAACAATCCTGTTCAAGAAAAATTACAAGCAAAGAACTTGTGTCATAGGTAAATTAGCAAAAGCTTTTAAATGCTGAATAATTTTAAAGTTTACCTCAGCACAGCTTTTGTTAAAGTTTAAGCACTCTGCGATATTTTCAAGCATAGATTTAATTGCTCCTTTCCATGTTGTAGTAGACTTATGGGTATCATCAGCTTTTGCATGGTCAGCACAATCTGCTTGTCCACTACAAAGCATCACCAGCATCTTTGGGCCTTGCATTTTTGCAAAGAAAGGATCAGATGCAAAACATAGGCCAAAGAATTAATGGCTATAAGCATACAACAAAGTATCAATATATCATGTAGAAAGGTAAAAATATAGGTGGGTGCTAGCTATCTTAGTTGGTAAAAAATTTGGAAATTGCTGTCAGGTGGGTGCTGGCTGCATTAAATTTGTGCATGAGGAATGAGAAATACTGAACATCAGGGAAAATGGAGAAGAAAGATGAACACAAAGCAAGAAAGAAAGATAAAAAAAAATAATACAGATAAGGTTGTTTTCAAGAATTCAAAAGCTTCAAATAAATACATCAATTTTTTAGGCTTTCCACCTTCTTGCTATATATTTGGTACTATTCACTCTAAATAAGCTGGTGTGATTATAAAATATGTTGACAAGAAGAGGGTCAACAAAAGTAACTAAATCATCACCACCTTCATGACCTAAACACTTCGGTAAAGATAGAAAAGAGTACGGTATCACCAACTTATGCACATCAAAATCTTTACCATTATCCTTCCTGTACCAGGGATTTAATCACCATTCTCTTAACTCAATTGATGGACAACAACATACACATGATAATGTCAATTTAAAACAAAAAAGTACAGTAAAACAAAGCTCAAAACCAAAGCCCATCCACACTGACATTTGAGCTGCTCAATGATATAATTATGTTAATCATCTGCTGTTGCATATCACACTCCACTTAATTAGATCACCCACTCTTTCTTAAAAGGTCTGTTTTGGATAGTCGCCTTTTCTCTCCCAATTTCAATGCTATTTCTTCAGATTCTTCTTCTCTGTGAATTGCCTCGCAGGACTTTCCTTTTTGTCACTCTTGCTTCTTTAAGCCAATGTTACCAAGATAAAAGTTCATATGCTGTGAATTATGTGGGACTTTCCAAGAAATATTCATGAATTATTTTTTTTAATAATTGCAAGCAATGGCCATGTGACTACTCAGCAAGGATATTATTCAATTACTATGCTATAAAATATATTAAGGCACTAAATAAACAAAAGCAGCTAGCAAACATAAACTTCCATGCAAGTCTATCCGAGTAGTCAAATTTGTATTGGGTATTACAGAGGAAGGGCAGCTACTTGGTATGTATGTTTCTGTCATTAAGATAGGCTGTCTGTGCTAGAGTTCAAGAGAAAGTTAATCCATGATTCCCCCGCCACTCCCCTAGGTAACAGCATATGTTTACTTTTGGCCAAAATTAAATGTTTGAAAACTTAAGGCAAGCATGAAGATGAAGATTAAAATATATATTTCATAAAATCTCGAATCTTAGAAGACTGATTATAAAAAAAACACAACCAATTTTGATATGGCAAGGCTAGGAAGCTAAAAATTTCAAAAAGCTATCTAAGGTGTAGAACCTACTATTCAACAGCAAAAACATAAGACGCACTGCTTGTTTCCTTACATGCACCCCAGCTTCCGTGCTCATTAGAGTTGACAAAGTTTGCAATAAATGTACTGACCCAAACCTGTATAAATCATTAAATTATCAACAATGATGCAAAAGGAACACAACTCTACGTGGTGGATTGAATGGAACGAACAAAGCAACTTACTTCTCCCTATCTATGTTAGGTTTGCACTCCATCATGATTAAACTCATGATCAACAACCCCTCAAGACGAATATACTCATCAACATTCCTCACAACAATTTTCTCCATCATTTCGAAGATTTTAAGCAAACTTCCAAAAGACAAAAACATAGCGGTGTTAGAAGCCTGATCGTCACCCATGCATAAATTCCCCATAGAAGAAACAGGCGAAGCTTCACTTGCATTATCAGTCATTTGAAGATCATGAAATTTCATAACCTGATTCTCCTGTGCAATGGCTCCTTCGCCTGTAAAGCTTTCATCATTAGATTTACCCACAAAGACATTGCTCCTGCGCAGAGTACACTGGGAAAATCATATTTAAGTTCATAAGCATATGCATTTGAATAAAATGTCCAAGGAGATTGATAAATAGAAATGTGAATGAAAACAGCGTCCTAAAAATTGTAGCGTAAAAACTTAGACACATAAGCAAAATTGTGTGAATGAATTTTAGTAAATTAGACCAATGTGATTGCAAATGGCTAGCGTAATGCAAACTATTTAAAAGAGGGTTCCCTCTACCACCCCATCCCCCAATTACTGCAGTGTCGTGCTGTAGCAGCGCACGAGTAGCGCCCACTCAATAAGACCTCATTATACTAAATAAATCAAATAAGAAACCTCACGCGCTTGGATGCGCACCTCCTAGCTAGCTCACCATGTCTCCCTTTCCCATTTTGTACTCCATCTGGCAAGCTTTTTCATGCACACTTTCCGTTAGGATGCTATCAATATTTTCAGTGAACCAAACTTGCATAGAACTTAAAAGAACAGGATGAAGAGGACTTTGGGACATAAACAAAACATTCAAATGAAATGAAACTAAAATTAAAGAAAATTAACAAATGATAAAAAATAAGAACAAATTTATTAAAATAGAACAAGAACTAAACATCCAAATGGACGGATAGGGAACTTGCAGAAAACACAACAACTTGCCTATGGGAAGAGTTAGAACCTCCATGCCACTTTTAGAATGCTCAAACCTCACACACATGAGATCAAGCAAGCTTGAATGGTAAAGTGAAATAAAGGGTCTCCTATCTATATGAGAAAATTTGATTCCATAGCATCAAAATATAAATTTAAGACAAAAGTCGCATCTTAATGTACTTAAAAGATTCTAACAAACCAACAGCATACCCCCATATCCACAAAATGCATATAAAAGCAGACAAAAGGCATTCTTTAAAACCTCAAAATGAAATAGTACGTGTTTTAAATGACAATATTCACGCAAACCAAACAAAATCTAGATATTTTCAAAACAAGCACATGCAACATGATACTACTTTGAAATCAAACAAAATACCCAAGAAAAAATCCAGATGCATCATGTAAACACATTGAAAAGTGTGCAAAATAATAAAGAATATGCAAGCATATAGCGCATGCACCAACAGCATGTAAATGCATCACATAAATGCGCTGTGCAAATATAATAAAGAACTTGCAGGTGGATTATGTGAATGCACCAAAAAGCTCATAAATATATCATGTAAATGGGTGAATGAATAGAATTTATCTATAGCAGAAGACAAGCATCGGAGGATAGGTTTGTTAGAAAATATGCACTAGTTTAAATCATGCTTGATTTGCATTATTTTGCAAATTTATAAGATAGAAATGATTTATATCATGATTTGAAATGAAAAAAGTTGTATGGTTTATTAGGTCTTTGATTTTGAAACATATTACTTTTGAAAAAAAATGTTAGCAAAAAAGAACTAAACTAACATTCAACTGATTATTTTTGCCTTGGTATTCCAGCTCTCGATTCAACTCATAACATATCTACATCACATTGGTTTCTTTTCACTAATGTCAACAATCCCCATGTTTTGATCTTTTGAAGGGCTTTCATTTCATCCCTTGAACTGTTAGTCCAATTCGCATTATTTAAAACCCTGGAGACAATTTTAGAAATAGAAATAGAATGAAGGTTAATAAGGATTGAGTGATTACTATGATAAATATTTTTGTATGATAAGAATAAGTGTAAGAAATGTCTAGTAAAAATTATCGTACCATTATTTGCAGGCTCAATGATTTTGTTAGCAGGTTTAATGGCAGGATTGATTTGACAGTTCAGCTTGATAGATTGAAATGCCTTTCTCCTAGATTAATTTAATAACAGCTATAGAAGATTGATTTAGTGTAAGCTTAGTTTGTATAGAAGATGTTGGTTTTGAAATAGAGTTCTTTGTTGGGATGAGGTGTAAGAAAGAGCAATCTAAAAAGAATTCCTTGATGTATGGCATAGAATCAAACTTAATCTAAGGCTTCAAGTTCCTTGAGTCATAGACGAGCATTCCCTTCTTGTGTGTGACCACAATGACTGGTGTACATAGTGAAGGTAGCCTCGAGAGGGAATATCACCTTTGCTCCAAACAAGAACACTAATGGAGTGGCCTTCGTTGTATTTTTCATAAGTGGAGTGATATGCTTTACAAAACTCTCGTTAGTTTTTTATGTCACTCATTTCTTTAATAGTTTTATCAACTTGTTTAATGACTCGATTAAATAATTATTCATTAAGTGACATATTGAAAAGTAATGCCAATCCATCTTTTGTCATTTGAAGAAACAATAATTCGAAGCACTTGTCATATATGATTTAGCATGGCACCACAACTTAGTAGACAAAGTAGTCTCAAAAGAACTTCACATTGTCTACCTTAGCTCATCTCAAAGGAATTGCTTCAACCCACTTTTAGCAATACTTTCTGGCAACGAGAATAACATTATGCATAGTGGAAGATTCAAAGGGCTTTGTGTTCTTGCCCCGAACTTCAAATAGCCATGATAATATTGCATAATGTAGTAGGTTATGGGCGAGCAATGTAAAATGTCTCCTTGATTTAACATAGATGGCACTTTTTAGCATGGTCACTTTAATCCTTATTCATGCTAGGCCAAGATCAACTGAGTTAATTGTTGTTGTTAGCAAGTCAAAAGCATTCTCCGATATATGGTTGTAAATATTAAGGCCTAATAGATATTTGGGTGTAGGGAAAACTATCTTTGAAACTAATTAGCAGAAATAAATATGTATAGCATTGAATCAAAAGAAAAGAGAAAATAACAATTAAAAAAAAAAATAGAAAAATAAGTTCTTTAGTTCGATAAATAAGATGATACATGAAGCAGATAAACCATTAATAATTATGATGAGTCTACCAAGGTCATTATCCAAACCTGAGGGTATTTCAATGAAATAGAGATGAACAAAAACTGATAATATATAAAAAAGTCAATAAAGGAAAAGAACAAGATTTGCATACTAAAATTGTGACAATAATAAATTCATCAGACGTCATACACCTTTACCTGAAAACCAGAATCAAAGACTAAATGTTGCAAGGTAGCATGCAGTATGCGCATAGACACATGGGCGACAGCCTGTAACAAAAGAAGAAAAATTGAAAATATTGGCAGTGAACAAAAGCCGGTTCATAAATGCTAAGCATGCCAGGAACCGAACAAAGCTGATAAGGACCTTTTCAAAATCATATTTATTGTCCACAAACATCTAGTCAGCTTAGAAAAGGTCAAGAATGGTTAGAAGAATCAGACCATTTATGTAGATTAATCATTTTCTTCAGGCAATGTCCCATTAAGAAAAGTTAACAATGATAACAATGATAACAGAAAACACATGCAAAAACAGCAGAAAATAAATATTGTAGGAGAAGAATAATGGCGACGCAATGTGCAAATAATCACTTGGAATTAAAAAAAGCATTGAAATTAAACAATATTTTGAAGGGTGTACCCACCGCATAGAACATCAACCAATGCAGAATTTGGAGAGGAGTTGATGCATGTGACCCTACCCCACGATTCAAAAGAGGTTGTTTACTTGTAATTCAAAACATTAATTATCATAAGTATAAATTGTGTTTCCTATGCAGGAAGTATATAAAACTAAAGATGCTTTGCAGGAAGTATACATTATGTTTCCTATTTAGAACAAGATTTGATGCAATTAAATTTCTCAAAAAACTAAAGATACATTATGCAGGAAGTATAAATTGTGTTTCCTATCCATCTGTGATATCAAGAATAGTTTGGTAAAAAAGGTCAGTTTAAGCATCTCTGAATGCCACTAAATAAGTTTCAACGTGAATATCGATTATTTGTGAACAAATGCTAAGGCGCTGAAAAATAATAATAAGATAACCTCATAAAGGAAATCAAAGAGCGTGAAGATAGCTATGCTCTAGGATAAGCAATCTATAACTCACAGCGTATACAAGAGATGACATTCTGAGTTTGAAAACAAGTTAAAGGTGGCTTGCATCACATGCTAAGATTCAGAAAAATCTGCCCAGCAGTTAATTCAAAGAATCTTAATAGGGATTAAGAATTCTATCACTTACGTTATCAAGGTTGCATAGCTCTAGTAATGCATCAATAAAATCCTGCAAAGGTACAATCTCATGACGCATCTGCAATAACAAATTAGAAACCCGTTAATGATCATGGAAAATAAGCTCCAATTACCTAATTCTGCAAATGCCCACTCATCAGTTTTGATGTCATGCCCACTAACCAAATGCACAATTATTAAGCATTCTATGATTATTAACAATATGCTCTCTGCCTAACAAGTGTTTGATGTGCTCTAGAACATGGAATGCATTCAGTCATCAAATTCTGACTTGACGTCATTAAGCCCCAAATACTTTCGTTTAACAATTCACGCATGAAAAAGGGCAACTCCGACTGAACAGACTTATGTGTTCAATGGTGTGATTTCTTCTAAAGATGCCATTAGCTTATAATGTCATGTAACCAGTATATAATTTTATCAGGTGACATGCATGCTGATTTTGATCACTGGATGGTTTGACTCCACTAGAAAAATTCTCTAAAACTTTTATAATCAAAGGAGCAGATTCTCACAAAGTACTTGAACAAAGCATTCCAGGTAAAAGATCAATTATGTTGATGTTGTGCAGTTCATATGAGAGACAATTTATTAGGCTTTTGCACCTTCATTAGTAATTGATAAAACCGAGAAGCTTTAGCAGAATCACTTGAATGAATAGAATGTATACTGTCATGCAAAGGTATCTCTGAAAAGCTTTCATTTGCCAGTCCATCGAGATTACATTTTGAAGACAATTTGATGCACCTGAAAAGTGTAAAAAATTCCGCTGAACAAGATCTAAGAAGCTTCAACACCAGGTTGCTTCCTGATCTTTTGTCATATAAGCCCCAGATTGCATGCAAGTTGCTTACAATTCCTTGATCATTTAACGTTCTCTTCTGTTGGACAATATCAATGGCATCTTGACCAACATCAGTTTGGATTCCTGTACTCTTACTATGCTTAGTTTTAGTGCTCTTCTCCATAAAGGAACATTCCTGTGCAAGTGCGAAAAAATCATGGCTTAGATGGACTGGTCATTATAGTAAGACCATAGATGAAATGGTATTTAAGGAGAATTGACAAAAGCACCTGAGCTTCACAGGAGGTAGTTGCTTCTAAACCCATCAAATGAACAAACTAAGTTTAGTCAACAACTGAAAACTTAAAATTGTGGTATGAGTCAGAGTTTACAGTATAAAAACAATATCTTACGATCATCAATCATTATACGCCGCTTCAGTTCAGAGACTGCTGATCCATTTGCTTGATGAACTTTCAATTTAGAATTGTATGTTCCAGATTTGATGGGTACTATTTTGTTTTCAAAAGAAATGGAAGCATGAGGTTGATTTTGTTCACAAGCGCCCCTGCAACCACACAAGCTAATTTAAAATGCCAATAAAAAATTCTTGGAAGGATGTTAATAGGGCCAAACATTCAATTGTGTCTGCAAATCTGCATGTGTGATATGTGGGAGTTCCATGAGTGAATACGCGCATTGGTTGTACCCCTCAGTGTGTACATGTCATGCAGGAATGCACATTTGAATCTACTTTGTACAACATTATTATTACATCTTAATGGCCAAAGCTTTAGTCAATACAGGATTTATCACTTTGGGGAACAAAGTTTTTTTTTTTCTTTTATTTTCAAAACGTTTTGACATAATATTATTGATAAAAATGGCAACATACTACACTCACAAGTTTTCCCTCTTCAGAGTGCAGATCTCAGCATCTTTAGCTTCAAGTTGTGAAATAACACATTTCAGCTGCTCATTTTTCTGATCTCTATCTTTCTTAAGGGTGATGCAATCTTGTTCCTGAAAAGTAAAACAGTAACGTAAGTTTGGTGTCTGACCATAATGGTTTTGCAATATTATGTTTCTTAGGAGTTGTTTGGTTGCATGCACTAAAAATACATATATTTTAAGAATGCAATGTTAAGAAAATAAAGTGTATTAATTTTCATCAAGCTGTTTGTTTGTATCTAAAGTGAACACAAAATTGTTTTTTTTAGTTTTTGTATTCTCCTTCTCCCCAACACTCCATGTCATCACCATTTATCCCCCATAAGTTACTTCGGTGTACACTGCCAACAACACCCTTAAAGGTCAACCTCTTTGGGCCACATCCTATTCGTCAAGTGGTTTGTAATAAAAGAAATGTGCACGGGAGACAGTGGGAGAAGTAGTGCGGTTTTGGAAATGCATTTTTGAATGGTGAGGCAAAGCATCTCGAATGGAAGACAAAGCCGACGGATGGGCAAGAGATGAATTGGGAGCAAGAGGCGGTAATAACGTAAACAAAAGAGAGAGCTTGTGTGCGAAACACTAGTGAGAGATAAAAGCAAAAACAAAATATGCCAACTTTGTCTAAATTTGAAATGCATGAGAAATAAAGCCTATGGTAGACCAAATGCCTGAAAATTTTACTTTTCACTCGTTTACTATACACCAAACACCCAAAATTTCTAAACCCCTACAAACCTTTTATTTATACTCAAAATATATCCAACCAAATGGTCCCTTTAAAAAAAGATATTTCACAAAAGAATTTTTTTATTCAAGGAATGATGACATTTCCTGTGCAAGGGAACAGCTGAAAGCCTGAAATATCATAAGTAAATAATAAACAGATAACTACTTTCACTTATCATAGAAAATAGTACCATGTGAGTGAACTTCTTGGAGAGATGCTCCAGCTCCTTCTGCAATATAAACAAGAAGAGTAAGTTCTATTTAATAAGCACACTGAATAAAAACACTTCATATTATGGCTGATGGTACAGTTCTACAAATTTCTTAATACTTAGTACCGTGTACAAATGTTACCAGACAGTATTAAGCATTAAAGCAAATGGAAAAGACAAATATCATTTTAAAAAAGCTATTAGATATGAAGAACAATGAGGTATATATGAAGAACATTAGACCAAAAAAAAAAAAAAGAGAAAAGTCTCTTCAAGACAAGGACAAAGCAGAGAAGGGCTATCATCAGCATGTGTATCATACTTAATTGCAACCACTTGAAACCCCATCAAAGTCAAAGCTGAGGACGAAACCAGCAAATCATGCCCGTTATGATTCAGGTGTCACCATACCCCAATGACCATGACAAAGGCTTGCAATACAGCTTATTACAAACCATACCCTCAACAACCATACACCCCCCACCCCCAAAACACACACAGATATTGTGGGAGCAACCCAATCCAATCCTAGTAATATCACACACTAAAAGTGGAGCTAGAATGTGAATATTCATATGCCAAGGCTGAAAACTATCCACCAATATTCATATGCCAAGGCGGAATCCCATACAATTTGCAGTTTGCTCATGCAAAAAGCCAAATAAATTTAGAGTGGACTGAAAACTATCCACCAATAAGACACTAACAACACCAAGGCTTCGTTTGGGACGACTTTCTTATTGCTTCTCAACATAGATTTTTAGTAAAAAATTAAAATCTTTGTACTTAAAAGCTGTCCCAAACGACACCTAGATGTTTAACTCCTTTACACCTCAAGAAAAAGATATGAACAAAAAGCAGAAGAAAAGTAAATAGCACATCATAAACCATGCAGTAAAGAGAGCATTCACATATCAACGCTATTTCTACAGAAGACAATATGCACAACTATAAGCTCTGTTGGCTACCTCAAATCCAAAATTCGTGAATTCTCTAACTCTAACAAATAATACAAACTATAAATTTTTTTTGTTTTATGAATATTATAGGCCAAGGTCAATAATAGTAGAAATTTAAAAAACTATCTATATAGATGAAGATTAATATAGTAAAGACAAAAGAAAACAATTTCTCCAAGTAAAAGCAGATTAAATTCTAAAACCTAGCCCTAAAAGAAAAGTCTCCGAACTGGAACAAACGCCAAAGTATCTTAGATCACAAGCAAACTAGAGCCACCAAGCCACCCAGAATGCCAAGCTGAAACGCCCAAAACAATGCAATCAAAGACAGAGTCCCAACACTACCTGATAAACGCTTATAGATGTAGCCCCTAAACCAGCTCCTGATCGCTGCAATCGATGATTAAATCTCACTGGTGAGAGAAGACTGCTTAAAGAATAAAAACCCTCTGCCTAACATCCCAGCATTCTCTTGCAAATCAGAGCCTAACAAGATATTCAAAGTGCTTTAACGAACTATTAAAACCTACTACACGTCAATATAGACCACGCATTCCCTGCTGAAGCAGCGAAGGTACCCTAAATTCCGGACGGACGGTGTTCTACAAAAATCAACGTAAATATAAAACACAAACACTAGAGAACTCGCCTTCAACCGCTCCAGCTCTTTATTTCTCCTGCCACCACCTGCGCGACTGAAACCGCCATTCCTAGAAATCCTACTCTCAACCATCACGCAACCATCCCCAACCGGAGCATCTTCAGACACTTCTTTAAACCTCTGCGATAACTCCCGCGGCGGAGAGAAGCATATATCGCTGCCACCCGCATGGACCCCAGAAGAAGACAAACCCGCGCGTTCCGAACGAAAAGGTGGGGGCAGTTCCCAGTGGTCAAATGCCTCTTGCTCCAGCAGATAAGAGGAGCTAGGGTTCGGTGGAGGCGGAGGAGCGATAGGATTAACGACGGCATTTTTGGAGCATAACCCGAGCTCGACCTGAAAAACTTCGTTAATGAAGTTCTCGTCCCATTCGTCCACATCGAAGCTCATCGGATCGGTTGATTCTGTAGTGGAGTCCATTGAAGGGAAGAAGCCGATATATATATATAATTTATCCAAAACAAAATGTTGACTAAACTATTTATTTTAAATTTCATAAAATTCTTTCAAAACTCTCATAATTGAATCAACTCCTTTTAAAAATGTTTTTTTTTTTAATAATAAATGAACCTAATATTCAAATGATAATATTTTTAACTTCTTTATAAACTTTTTCCATAGCAAACAAGAGTTTATTGTCTTAGCCTATGCACATACATCTTAAGTTGAGAGCAACTCATTAGAGAAATGTGTTTTTTTAATGAAAAGTAAGCAAAGGGAAAAATATGCCTCTATTTTAACTTAAATGACTATACTAGTGTGAGTCTTAGATTAAGAAGATTGCTCTCCCTCGTAATTGGATAATTCATTTATATAATATATAATAGATATGAACGGTTGAATATGTATTTCATGTTATAAATAGGATTATGATTCGAAGTGTAGAAAGATATCATCAAGAGATTGTTGGAGATCTTCTCGACCATTCTCTGTATAAGTGGAGAGGTTAGTGATGAAAAAAAAGTAGGATTTGGCCTTAATAGAGAATATATGTTACTATGATGGTGGCAATAAAGGGCTTCGACTTTCATGTTTATGTTGGTGTGTAGATGTTGACGTCGATGGTGGGAGCATTGGCGTTGAAATCATAAGTGGACCTACACGTTGGTGTCACCAGCAAGCGTAAGTGCTTGTGTTGACAATGAGCAACAGTGTTAATATCAATGACTAGCTTTGGCTTTGCTGTCGATGATAGGCAATAGTCTTATCAATGATGATATGTATCGACGTTGTTGTCAATGATGATAGTCGATATGAATATTGATTTCCAGTATCAAGAATCATATTGAAAGCAAACATCAACCATTATTTCTCTCTACTATATATAACAAGTAATGTTTTGCACACCTTAAAAATTAACATATTTTTAATATATTTTATGTGAGACATGTTATGTATGAGATAAAAAAGGAATATAACATGTGAGAAATTTGCCAAAATTTACATTTTGTTTATGATTGTTTGTAGAATAACATTCAAAATTGTATTAGTTCCTGACGTATTGTTATTTAAAAGTTATGGGTTTTTTATTTTGTAAGTTAATAACTATATTTTATAAGTTAAATATATTTATTGGTTAGCTTACAAACATATTGAAATGTATCATTTTATGAGGAAAATATCTTATATTTGTAATGTATATATGTTTTAACTCATGGTACATTCAAGTATTTCAAGTACTTCGTTCAAGCTAAATCAACTTGATTCAAGATAACTCAATCAAGGCGGACCAATAAAGATGATGAATTTGCCAATGCCATCTTGAACTCGCCAAGATTAACATGAACTCACCAAGTTTATAATATACTCGTCAAGATTGTTGTGGATCCGTAAAGATCATGACAAACTCGCCAACACATTCCAAGATTTATTCAAGCATTATAAGCTCAACATCAAAGTTCAATAAGTAAAATCATCAACTTCATTCGAACACGTTGGAATTTTCTCTATCAAGTCAACCACTTCAATCAAAAGCCAATGGCTCACTTTGTTAAGAGACTTTTAATTCAAGTAGTCAATCAATAGATATCTAACAATTAGGCTAGAAGACGCACTTATTTCATAGCAAGCAACAATTAAGGCTTCATTTGGGATGGCTTTCTTACTGCTTCATAAAGCAGCTTTTTAGTACTAAAAAGTTGTTTTTAGAAGCAATAAGAAAACCGTCCCAAATGAAGCCTAAGCCTTACTATGCATTGTTTTTATTTATATTTTTTAATAAGTAGCCTTCATGTAATGATAAATTCTCACCTAGACTTACAAACAAAAGGTAAGGGGGAAAGCTAAAGATACACATTTTATGCACTCCTTACTTAACAGAACTCTCAAAACTTCTTATTATAGATTCTCCTTTTCTCCCTATTATCTTAGATTTTCCTCTCATCAAGCATATTAATATGGTTCTGATCTACCCACAGATAGTTTGGGATCTAACATTCTCAAAGCTAGAGATGTATCTTGAGTACTTGAAGAGCGAGATTGAGAAACCTGAGTAAACATGGAAAATCCGGATTTTATAATTTGTTGACGACTTAAAGAGTTGGAAGAAAGAAGATAGTGACTCACTTCATTAAGGACTTTTAAATTCAAATAGTTAATGGATATTTAAATATGGCTACAAAACACATGTATTTCACAATAAGCAACAATTAAGCCTTACTATGCATTGTTTTTATTTATATATTTTAATATATTGTCTTTCTTGTAATGTTAAATCCTAATATAAACTTATAAGGGGATAGGGGAAGCTAAGGATGCACATTTTTTGCAGTTCTTATTTTAAGAAAATCTCAAGGGTAGCTTCTCATTATAAATTCTCCTTTTTTTTTCTTTTTTATCTTTGATTTTTCTCTTGTCAAGTACATCAATATAGTTCTCGTATACCCACAGACAATTTTGGATATAACATACTTAGAAGTTGTGGTGAGTGTGGACATATGCAAAAAAATGGATGGTGTATCATGAGCAGTAGACGAGTAAATTAAAACTGAGAAACCTTAGTAAACATAATATTACCCACATATTGAATATATCATATCGTGTTTATTCCAACTAAAAAAAAATCATATTGTGTTGGATGGTGATAGATCAAGCCCATGGTCTAATTTGAAGCGACTTTTCAGATTTTTTTAATTATTAACAGACACCATAGGTACTATTTAATTCCCATAAATGAAAAATATATATATCCACAAATTTTCTTTCATTTGTCTTCAATATGCATATACAATAAAATCTCTTAAATATAGCACACAGCAACTGACAAAGGCAAAACATAACAAAAAATAGTCATTGTTGTACAAAATCAGGAAAAAAAAAACCTAATACAGACTTAAGCTATCAGATCCTACAACCTTAGCTACTTAACAAGCTTTTAACCTTGCCATAACCTAAATAAAGTATGTAATAGCTATGAGCCAACATAACCCAATAAGTCACACCCATTGATCTAAATTTTTAATACTTGACCCAACGATTATTTAAAATTGAATAAAAGAGAAGTTATAAATGAGTTATTCTACTGAACAGAATAGTGCTTCCATATAATAGAATTTAAACAGACTTTGCTCAAAATATAAATAAACTAGCACTTATTATATAAAATAGAAATTAAAAGATTTCCTTCATGCCTTTATGTCTCCCAACATAAATAGATATAAGGATTCAAGACCTTATACCTCTCTCCTGTGCTAGCATATCATAAAATAAGCTCTTATAGCTCTCAATTGCTTAGCACATCATATACTTGTTATTTAAGTCCTTATAAGTCACAAATGCATTCAACACAACATAATTTCCTCCTAATATAAGAACTCCTAAAAAATCATAAACTTGAGGCAAATAAACACATATATAACTGCAATTGAGATGAAATAATGAAAATTGGCACAATACAAAATAGTGCAAAATACTATACTAAAAGCCAAAATGTTTAAAATATTGGGTAGAAATTTAGATTTTTTCAAATTGTACCAAATTATCAGGAATTTGTTTAGAACACTATTTTAAAGCTTTTGATATGCATCAATATTATTTTTTGAGGAATTATTTTTTAAATCACTAAAGATAGCTGGTTTTTTAAACTATCTCACAAAAATTTTCAAATGAAATTTGAAAATGTTCAGAATATTCTTACATATAATATACCAAAAGTTACTGGGTAAAATTTTAACAGATCTAAATTTATTCATGTTTTTAAGTTAGAAATTATAATTTTTATCAAAAAAATCTCAATTCTCGTTTTATTAAAAACTAAGATGGGCAGAATGTAAACTAACTTGATCCTGGGAATTTTTTGAACTGGGCAGATAGTAGAAGCCAGAAAATGGACTAAAGCAGCTTGGAATGGGTTTTCTCTCTTTAAAAGTTATATTCTCTCTCTCAATCTAGTAGCCTAAGGGGGGAGAAATTTAAATGAAATTTAAGTGGAAATTGATATTTATAAAGAATGGCCTGGCATCACAGCACTCCAAATAGCGGTGTCACTACATCGACACTGTATATAATAACATTACTTGAACCCGAGAACTTAGCATCGCAGCACCTCTTATCCCAGTGTTGCAGTGCTCCCAAGGGAAAACTTCATATTCATAACAAATCATGTAGCCGACCCCTTAATGGGATAAAGGCTTGTTGTTGTGCTATACAGTTTTAATCAGACTATAATGATCTTAATGCTATTCATATTTCATTTGGAAAAGTTGCATTTAAACCCAATTAAAGTAAAGTATTGCTCGAACTAAGTTATCAATGATAGATAAAATAAAGTTTACTCTTGATCTCAACAAGCCAAGTGTTAGATTCAAATTAATCTGCCGATGATATTTGGATCTTACTTTGACGACTTACAAGGCGCACAGTGGAAAGCGACGTGTAGGGGTGTGAACGAGTCGAGTCGAGTATTTGCATAATTAAGTTAAGGTTGCTTAGTTTTGACTTGATCTAGGTTATCAATGTTTGATAAAATAATGCTTAAGCTCTTGATTTAGCAAGCCTAGTGTTGGATTCAAATTAATCTGTTGATGATATCCAAAAATTACTTCAACCATAACTTTCAAGGCTCACATTGGCAAGTGACGTGTAGGGGTATAAATAAGTCGAGCCGAGTATATGTCTAATCGAGCTAAGCTTGCTTAGTTTTTATTGAGCTTGAGCTTGACTCGAGCTCTTTTACTAAGCTCAAGCTAGACTCGTTAAAAAATTTATAGGGTCGAGCTCGATTGGAAAGCTCGAACTTGACTCAATATATAATTAATTTAAAAATGTTAAAATATGTTATATAATGCTAATTTAAATTAATTTTTAAATATATTTTAACTTATCACCGAGCTTTCGAGTCGAGCCAGGCTGCTCGAACTTGAGCTCGTTTAATATACGAGCTCAAGTATAGGCTCAAGCTCAAACTCATAGATTGATAAGCTCGACTCGTGAGCTCATCAACAATTCAATCTCAGGCCGGCTCGCAGCTCACTTACATCCCTTGTGATGTGTAGATCCATTGAGTGACAAGTGGTGAGTAGGCCCGTCAAGTGACTAGTAGACCTTGATGAGTTATCCTTGATCCTTGTCGAGCGTACCTAGGCTTTTAATAAGGGAACAATTATTACGTCCTCCGACCGGACGTAGAGGAATGTCCGGTCGGAGGCCAAATCGCGCCAAAAAACGAGAAATACTGAGCAAATACCGAGCAATACCAAACAATAACGAGGAATACCATCACGTGAAGACCCAATACCGAGCTATACCGAGCAATACCGAGTTATACAAAAGTTGTACCGAGTTTTTCCTAGAAAAAACTCGGTACAACTCGGTATTCCTCGGTATAGCTCGGTATAACTCGGTATTGGTCTTCACAGAGAGGTATTCCTCGTTATTATCAAATAATAGCTAGCAATACCGAGCAAATACCGAGTTTTTTGGCGGGATTTTGCCTCCGACCGGACGTTCCTCTACGTCCTTACACCGGACCTAATAAAAGTTCTTAATAAGGGCACCTTCAACCGTTCTCACCTCAAGGCCAATTGAGCTTGGTTGAGCCAAGCCATTAGCATATTCGAATATCCGTCAAAACATTTAATGTTACTCAAATATTAAATATCACTTGAAATTTAAAGTATTTTCTTAGTTAGGCTTCTCTCCTATTGAACTGATATCACTAATTAACAGCCTAATCTGCTCTATTAGAATTTAATCTGTTCCAATTCTAAATCTAATTAAGTTAGGCTGAAATTGAATATAATATAATTATTTTTAGGAATCTTCTTTGTAAGGTTACTATAAAAATAATTTTATTTTATTTTATTTATTTATCCTGCAAATTTTAAGCCTTTGAGGAGAGCTTAATTACACCTAGGGGTGTCAATTCGGGTCAATGGGTCGGGTTCGGGTCAAACTTGGAATTGACTCGGCACTGTTCGGGTCAACCCGAACCCGACCCATTTTTAAAATCGGGTTAGGTTTCCGGACCCGAACCCGACCCGATTCGGGTCCGGGTCAACCCGACTCGACATGAATGACCCGAAGTTGACCTAAAATTGCTAGTTTTCAGGTAAAAAATCGGGTCAATCTTCGATTTTCGGGTCAAAATAGGGTAAAAAATGGTCAATCTCGGGTTTTCGAGTCAAATAAGAGTTTTCGTGTCAATTTCGCCCGAACCCGAACCGATTTTTAAAACGGGTTGATTTGTTGAACTCGAACCCGACACGTTCGGGTCCGGATTGACTCTAATCAAAATTTTTTCGAATCGAGTTCGGGTCGTGTCAAAAATTGACACCCCTACTTACACTCTTCTAATGTCAGCAGGTTCACAGAAACACGAAGCGAGCATGGTTCTCTTTAGTTTTATCTCTCATCAGCTATCACATAATATTAATCACCCTATCTATTTTCCTTGTCTCACAGCCTTTCATTCCCTCATCTCCAACCAATCATTCTCAGCCTGGCACGTGTCCTCACCATATCTTGAATAGTGGCATTGCAACCAAGCTTTTCTTTTCTCCTTTATCCCATTTCCTTAGCTTTTCCATCACCATAATTACAATTCCACCCTCAATAATCTCAACCCATAAAATTATTTTTTATTTATATATTAATGATTCCAACTCACTAAATATTTAATAAGTCAGAGGATTGTAGCAAAAAGGCTATAAACCCACAAGCTCACCTCTACAACTCTCTATTCCTTTAAAAATTATTATTTGCTGTGTCCGAACGCATCCGAAGATCAATGCAGACGCACCACATCATCAAATATAAAGTGCATTGCATGATGTGACATGTTCTAATTGACCTCTGGACACGTTCGGACTTCACATGTAATAATCTCTCATATTCCTCTAATCATCATAATCTTGTTCAAAATTAATGGTCACCAACTCTCTTTTATTTGTATTTAAAAGCCACATAATACTACTATTTTTTTTAATTTATATAATTTAGACTTTATTTGGGATTATTTATTCATTGTTTCTTAAAATAATATTTTAGTAAAAAAATTAAAATTTTTGTATAAAAATTTTTGTATGAAAAAGCTATTTTAAAAAGCAATAAAAAAATTGCATGTACTAAAAAGCGGCTTGAAAAAAGGTAAGAAAACCGTCCCAAACGAAGCCTCAAAGAGACTATTGTATACAGTTCTTATCCTTATATTATAGATATATTATTTCCATGACTTCTAATTTAATGAAAAAGAGCGATGCTATTTAATCACGAAGCTTACATCTGTATCAGTATCACCATAAGGTTATTTTAATGAATCAAGCTTAATATCTCTACTCGACAATAAAATTTAAACTAATTTCGAGCACAATAGTTATTAATCTATAGAGATTATAATTAACTTTTCTTAATAAAAATAATAGTAAAAAGAAAAAGAAGATCTTGTTCCTTAGAAAGCATCGAAAAGATAGCTAGAGAGCAGTGCACCCTCTCTCAATTCTATCCTCTGCTTCTGTATTTCAGATACCAGAGACAAAACAAGAAGGAGAGAGCAAAAGCAAACCCAAATCAGCTCTCTCTTTCTCTTCTTCCTCCATAACAGCCATTAAAAATGGCAGTTTGCACAGCCTACACCTCTCCTTCCCTCCACTCTCCATATCCAATCTCAAACTCCTCAAAAAGCCATCATCACTTCATCCTCTCCACTAGTTGCAGATCCAACAGAAGAAGAGTTAGAGGAGAAATCTCATGCTCTTCAGAAACTAACACAGTAGTTATTGGCCTTGCAGCCGACTCAGGATGTGGAAAAAGTACTTTCATGAGGAGACTGACAAGTGTCTTTGGAGGAGCAGCTGAGCCGCCAAAGGGAGGGAATCCAGATTCTAACACTCTGATAAGCGACACTACCACTGTAATTTGCCTTGATGACTACCATTCTTTGGATAGAACAGGAAGGAAGGAGAAAGGAGTGACTGCTTTGGATCCAAGAGCAAATGATTTTGATCTTATGTTTCAGCAAGTTAAGGCTTTGAAGGAAGGAAAATCTGTGGAGAAACCTATATATAATCATGTCAGTGGGTTGCTTGATCCTCCCGAGCTTATTAAGCCACCAAAGATTTTAGTTATTGAAGGTTTGCATCCAATGTGAGTTCTTTCTTTCACTTCTTTCGTTACTAATGTCTTAGGATTTGTTCCGAGCAAAGAAAAGTGGAAGAAATGAAGTTAAATTTCGATAATTTATGGATTGATTATCAATCTGCATTTATTTATTCAGTATTTTCATTTTCATTCACTCAAATTCATGACATCCAATCATATCTTGCTGAAAAATCGGATTTTCCCAGCTAGGACATTCCATCTAAGATTGTTTGTCTTTGTGTGTGTGGTGGGGATGAAGAAGAGATAGAAGGAGAAAAAAAGGAGGAATTTGAGGCTTTTTTCTCTTTTTTCAGAGGAAAGTTTGTACATGGTGGTTATGTTTATATGGGAATTATATCCATTGATGATTTCCATTTTTCTTTCTTAGTTAAGGAAGCATAAAACATTAATGCATGCATCATCTTGTGCTATTTTCCTGATTGTTGAAGCTATTTTTATAGACATGCAAACTAAGGCCATATAGTGATATAAATTTGATTTGCATGTTCCTTGCTAGATGAAATGAGGACTTCTATGTGGTTATTTTCATAAATATGCCAACTAACACTGCATTAGGACACAACTCACCTTGGTTTGTTGGTTGGAAGTTTAGGCTACCATCCAAGAGGTCTTGGGTTCGAGTCTTGTGTATGAGATGTGTGTGTGAGTCTGCTTTAATTGGCCTAAATGTTCAAAAAAAAAAAAAAAACTGCATTAGGGGTTTAACTAAGTTAAACTTATTAGTGAGCTGAAGCTGATCAGTTGACGAGCTAAGTTTGAGCTAACCTCTTGTATTTTTTTTTCTTTTTCATTAATCATTAATTAAGGTTTGAATTGATGGATGCCATTGGCTAGTCTTAGCACCTATGGACATTTATGTAATATCCAGCCATAAGGAGTTCCGCAATATTTCAAAATTTTTATCATATAATTTGGTATTTAGGTATGATGGTCGTGTGAGGGATCTGTTGGATTTCAGTATTTACTTGGACATCAGCAATGAGGTTAAATTTGCATGGAAAATTCAGGTTAGTGAGAAGCTCTAATATGTCCCATTTCAATATAGTAATCTTCTATACCATTTTGATTTTTTTAAAATTTTTTATGCATTGATCCTCTTTAAATTGAGCTGCAGAGAGACATGGCAGAGCGTGGACATAGCCTTGAAAGCATTAAAGCAAGCATTGAAGCACGAAAACCAGACTTTGATGCTTATATTGGTATGTTTCTTATAAACAAAATATCGAACTTTTTCGTTAGGGGCCATTTGAGATTACTTTTGTTCATCCTGTTTATACTTTGATTTAAAATAAAAAAGAATATTTGGTACCTTACAAATTTAGAGCATTTCACTAATGTAATCAATGAAGAAAGCTTTGTAAATAGTTTGTACTGCATTTGAGTCGCTAAAACAACAAACAAGTTCCAACTCAAACAAAGAATCTCTTGACATTATCAGATCCACAAAAGCAATATGCGGACTGTGTAATCGAAGTCTTGCCAACACAACTGATCCCTGATGATAACGAAGGAACGGTTTTAAGGGTGAAGTTGGTGATGAAAGAAGGTGTTAAGTACTTCACTCCAGTCTACCTCTTTGATGAAGGTTCCACCATCTCATGGATACCTTGTGGAAGAAAACTCACTTGCTCATACCCTGGCATCAAGTTCTTCTATGGACCTGACAGTTACTTCGATCATGAGGTTGCAGATTCATAATTTGAATATCTGAAGCAATTTGTTTTATGCAGAATGTAATGTACTGTAAGGAGTTAGATTTAGCTTCTGTTGCTAATTCAGCTTCTTTATTTTCTCCTTCAGGTTTCAGTACTTGAAATGGATGGCCAGTTTGATAGACTGGATGAGCTCATTTATGTTGAAAGTCATCTCAGCAGTTTATCAACTAAGTTTTACGGAGAGGTAACACAGCAAATGCTGAAGCATGCAGACTTCCCAGGTAGTAACAATGGTACAGGTTTATTTCAAACAATCGTCGGATTAAAGATAAGAGATTTGTTTGAGCAGATTATTACAGAGAAATCTGCAACTCCAGCTGAAGTATCCAAAGTTTGAACTTCTTTCTCTCTTTTAGTTTCTATCAGTTTAGCTCAAGCTTCTATTGTTTCATAGTCTCACAATGAGAGGAGAGCAAAACTTGTCTATATTGAACTGTGTAATTGTAAAGAGGAGAAGGATTGTAGCTGGTTCTGAAGTATTGCAGGGAACAGAAGATAATTAATCCCTTCTTCTAAAGTGAGTTCTTCTCATCTGTTTCTCAATTTCCATTACAATACCCTTCTGTAGACAGATATCACATTCCTTTGTTATTATAGGAGATTTAATATTGTTGTTTTGCTATTTTACTGTTATATAAATAAAATCATCGCTATGGTCACACAATGATGCATTGACTATCGTATAAATAAAGAAATATTGAGTAAGAATTTTCTTAGTTCATTTATTATTATTTTCACCACTAATATAAAGTTCATTTATTATTATATTTTAGTATTACAAATTATCAAATATACATTAAAATTTATGAATAAAATAAATTCTAAGTTCTCTACACTTCAAAGAATCTTTCACCATTGAACTTTTGTTCATGTGTTCCAAGCCATCTATGCAAAAATTATTGATAGATTTAATAGTCATTGATTGAGATTATTATTTATGTTCTACTTGATAATAAGCAAACCTAAAACAAACAATAATTTCCACACTTTAATAAATTTGAGCTTATTTGAGATTGACTTGATGGTTTGCAAACCAAGTCAAGCAAAGTGTTAAGACGTGTGGAGTTTGATTTTTTTTTTTTTTTCATACAAACTTGATTTTAAAGTCATTTTAAAATCATGAAAAGCTTAGATAAGATTATAATCAAATCTGATTTTGGTTTTCAACTTTGGTGGCTGTCAAATTTGAGATCAAATTCACAACTTATCTAAGTTCCTACATACCACCTCATGGTGCCTTGTAAAAAGAAACAAAATCAAAAGAGAGGATGCAACATTCAGCTTCTCTTTATGGCTACCATCAAGCTTAACAAGGACTCTCAATTCAAGCAGATGGGATAGGCAACGGGCCAATTAGCTCGTGAACGGGAGAGATTATTCTGTACGTTGTCCGAACGCGTTGGAGGTCAATTCAGACGCGCCACATCATCTAATGCATTATATATTGAGAGACGTGGTGCGTTCAGATTAGCCTCCGGATTCGTCCGTACACCACACAGAATAATTTTTCCGTTGATGGAGAGTCTAAGGTCAAGCATCAATATCACTGCATCTCTCTCGGTTAAAAAGGAGGTGGTTGGCAATGATGAGATCAATTTTGAGTTCTGTAGACCATTAAGGTTTTATACTATTTAGTCAATATACAACAACGTGTTAGAAATCGTTAAGTGCAGACATTTATAGCAAGCAAGAAAGAAAGCGTTTAAGTACCACAATAACATTGCATGTTATTTTGATGGTCATAAACTTGCTAGCAGTATGTCTTGCCCAATGATTCTTCAAAAGCAACAGTGCAGGAGTCATATTCTTCAGAAGCAAATCTGTGAAGAAACTCTATATAAGCTCCAATGCTCATTTTCCTTCTCACCATTCACGCTCTTGTCCTTGAGGAACTCAATGGACAAGGATACTCAGGTAACTTCGCGCTGGAACTTAATAATTGTTCAAGGCTTTCTGATTCATTTTCAATCTTTACTTCTTGTTTCTTGGACTTCAAAGTTGTCTTCATTTCATTTTCAATCTTTATAATCTTTACATTTTCAATCTTCGCAGTGCATCCTTTGTAGATCTAGGATTAAAGGCTGGCGGTATAGGTATCTCGTTGCATGCCTTATTGTTGGATAGACTCTCCATTCTTTGGAGGCCATAAATCACACATATTCATGTCACATGTATGACTTCGCCTCCATCTTTCTCTCATGCATTCTTGTTATGTGATTGTTGACCTCTCTTTTGCTCAAGCACTAGGTCAAAGGGTTTGACCTGATCAAATTGACCAAGTCAGACCCCAATATCTTTCCCATTCAATTCCAGTGGTCGAACCAAGTATATTGAGCCCTAGCCAAGGCCCTGGGTCAACCTCGTTGACCAGGTCAATCTTGGTTGACCCAAATGCCTTCTTTTGATTTCAAATGCATTACAGTGCTTCTTACATTCAATTCTCACCTCCCCTGGACCCAGTGGGCCAAACCCAACCCATTGGGCCCAATCCTGTACCATGGGTCAACCTAGTTAACCAGGTCAACCCGAGTTAACCCATTTAGCCCATTTATGCCCAAGTCAGTTTAAATTCAATCCAAACCCCTCTTGGACTCAAACCCCCACCCTTTTGGATCTAATTGACTAGGTTGACCAGGTCAATCATTGGCTTGGTCAACCATGGTCTCCCTTGGTCAAATTTAACCTATTTAGGTCAAATTAATCCCATTTAAAGCCATTAAATCATTTGTAATCCTCCCTAAGCCCAAATCCCGTGCTAATCAAGCATGATACCCTCCTAATTAACCCTAGAGGTGATCTAAACCGTCCAGTGAATGCTTAAGCCTATAAATAGGAGATTTTAGGGCTTCATGAAGGTCCTCTTGCTTTTACTCTCTTCATAGCAGCTCTCAACCCTAAATTTTTTTGTGTGAGAGCTCTCCTAGAATCCCCCTACATTCCCCAAGCTAAATCCGACCATCCCAAGCCTGCCGGCGGTGAGATCTCCGATGAGCCGAGGGCTTAGACGTTCCAAGGCTTCCCTAGCTCAATCCAAGATGTTTCGAAGCTCGTGTTCAACTAGGAAAACATACGAGGACAGTCTATAAGCTCAACTGTTCAAAGAAATCGAAGATCCAACGATGAAATTTCTCTAAAACCCTTACCCTAGGTCACAACACTTAGGTTCAAATAACTTTTCATATAGCGCTTTTTAGAACGCAAGTTTGGTTCCCCAATGATGCTCTTCATACCCACTACTCATGTTTAAGATTTCATAGATTTATATCGTACCGTTTGCGAGAACGATACGAAAATTGCTTTGGAGGCTCTGGTTCGCCCTAGATTTGGAGGTACAAGATCTCCACCGTTGATCGCATGATCAACGGTGTAGATCTCGTTGTTCCGTGGCCTTTTTCAAATCGCGGAAGAGATCTTGTGGCTCTGCTCTCCATCCGGTGAGATTAGGACCATTTGTTTCAAACTGCGGGCGATCAAACAGACGTAGGCTGCGTCCGACGTGGTTAATGGAGCGGCATTGATTTCCACGCCGCGACAATCATTGCCAATGATTACGCGTCCGCGCAATCATTGGCAATGATTGCCCCACGGCTTTGGGAGCGAACCAGGGCGTGTCGCGTGTCCCCCGAGCCGCTGTTTTAGTTAAATCATTTTAATTAATTTAAAAAATGCTTTTTTAAATTAGATTTTTTTAAAAAAATCTCTATAAATTATTATATAAATCAAAAAAATTAGTATAACATATCAAATTTTTCAGGAAAATGCCCTCTTCAATCTAAAATTAAGTTTGACACAAAATATTACCTATATTATGAATTATGTTAATTGCTAAGTGTTTGGTTATTTTAAATAATTAATTAATTATGAAGCCGTTAAATATTTTAAAATAATAAACATGATAATAATAATATTCTAATATATCTGTTATATTTTTAATTCAACAGTTCCCTTTTCTTTTATTAATTACATATCCTAATACTTTAATTACTATTAAATTAAATTAAATTAAATTAAAATAATTTGTTAATTTAAATTTATTTTATTTTTTTTTTAAAAGAAATTTAGAAACTTTAACTTTTAATTTAATTCATTTTATTAATCATTTTTAAATATTAATTATTGTTAAACTATTTTAAAATAGTCTTTAAATACTTTAAACTTCAATAAATCATAATAATTTCATTTTAAACCCTATTTTGACGTATAATACCTTAAATTTTTCAAAAAAATATGTAATTTATTTTTAAAATAGTTTCAAAAACCAAAAATCATTCTCTGGTCAGTTTCTGTATTACTTAGCCACTTTAATTATTTAATTATCATTTAAATGATTAATACTTTAATTATTTTGAAATTACAAAATTATTTTCAAACTCTTTTTGAAGCTTCCTTGGGTGACCAGTGGATCTCCCCATAAACATGAACATTGAATTATTTTAAATTATATTATTTTCTAAAATTAACATATTTATTATAAGTAATTTAAATCATTTTAAAATTACTTATATTTTAAATCCCTAATATTTGGGAGATCCACTTTGTGGAATTTTAAACTTAGATCATATTTATGAATAGCATTCACGGGGGAGGTTGATTAGTAGATGGTTGAGTTCCAATCATCCTCTAATTGCATTGTAAAGCATGCTTTACATTTTCGTTTATTGTCCCTTGCATGTATAGGATGCACAAGCACTTAGCTTAGACCCTCCTAGATCCTAGAAATTGGTGTGTTTACTGTTTTATAAATTCCATTCATATGATCTTAAGTGTTTGTCTTATACACTTGATTTAAACATATTTAACGTAGCGACACGCTAATGACAATAATTAACGACTCGTCTAGCGAACTTAGAAAAATTTTATGAGTTATGATAAATCACTGATTGACATGAAACCTTCAATATTTAAACTTAGTAACATTCTAAACCTCCCAAAATTTTTAAGGTTTTTTTAGAAGCCTTTAGACCCCTTAATTAACAAACCCTAATTCAACCCGTTAATTAGGCCTCGAGAATTTTAGAAAATTCTAATAAATTCATTTCAGCTCAAAAAATAACTCATAATATCTCAAACTCTCCATAATTTTTCCCTTAACCTTAGATAATTAGGACCCTTTAGTTGGACTTTAATCTGAGCCTTAATTTAACTTTAACTAAAAATTTCATTTTTGATCTGATTAATTAATTAAAAATTATTAAAAATTCCTAATTTTTTTCAAACACTTGGGAACATCTTCCTATGTTATTTCTGACTTTTGGGGATGATTCTAATTAGTTTCAAGCTAATTTGGATCAAAATCATAAAATCACCCATTATTAAACAATTTTAATAATTTCATAATTGTCTGAAACTTCTAAAATTCATAGCTTTGACTAAAAAAATCCAAATCCAGCAAACTCAAAGCTTAATTACTTCTTTTAAGCTCTAATATTTAACTAAAATGCTAAAACCCCTAAACCTAACCTATTTACTGTAGTGACCTTTTGGGCCCCCTCAACCTAGTGTATAGGAGGACCCTAGACCTTCTAAAATTCATTAAGGCAACTTAAACTTCAAAGATTAGTACCCTAAGTATTAAAATTGATCAACAAACTAAATTAATTAAAAATAGACCCTAATCCATTA